GGGTACGTGGACTTGCACCCAGTACTCGTGGCGTATAATTTATCAGTCCGATCCGTGTTCTCGAAGACCTTAAGACACAACATTTGGACACAAATTTGGACTTCTTTCTCCCACACAAATTTAAGATACACAATTTGTGAGTAATCCAGACAAATTTATGTCTGAAAAAAGTTTGTGTATTGGCTCAATTGACGGTTCAAATATAGCAAAATTGCAAAATTTACATATTTTACATTTGAATATCGAAACATACTGGTTTTGGTCCGTGCTTTGGGGCTAACGGTTAGTTTGTAGTGTGATTTCGATTTTATACCTTCCTTGGTACCTTCTCCTCAAAAGAACTTACCTGCCCCGAGTTGTAAGGGTATTGAGAGCATAATTTGATACAAAAAAAAAGACATCGTAACTGCACATAATTGAAGTATTCACTTGGGCGAAACAATAACCAGAGATATTTCGCATTTACATTTAATGGCTGTAAAAATCATTGTTGATTGTTATTTATGGAGTGAATTTTAATAAATGTATTTTAAATTTGCACATATGTGCACATACAAATCTGTAGCACTCGCACACATGCAGGCACGCAACATTTCGTGAGCCATTATGCAAATTGGCAACAACATGAGCTCGAGAGCCAGAACCAGGCCCGAACTCGAGCCCGAACCAAAAAAAAGTCGAGGCATCCGTAATGGCAGGGTTCTTACTACTCATAAATTTGCTGCAATGGTACAAATCAAATCATAACTTATTTGCATACATACGAGCCTAACGTGGAATCGTACGACAAGGAGGTGGGGGGAGGTGGCTTATAGGTGGTGGAACCCCCCCCCCAATATGTAGCTTTTGAGGGAGCATGTGTGTGTGTGTGGCCATATCAATTACATTACATCGTCCATGGCATGGCATTTTGTGTGCTGCGCAAATCTTTTGCCCAATTCAGTCACGTTCCCATAACACACTGACCACAGGACCACAACAAGGACCCGGACCCGGACCCGGACCCGGCCAGGACCGAAATGAAAGTGTATTAAATTCCTGCTGAATTGGTTTTTTCCATCGCCTGTCTGAAACTAGCATCGAAGCGAGTGCGCTTAGAAAGCCATAAAATATTTATGTTTCAGCCAGTTTGCGAATGAATTTGAAGGCCAATGCAGGAGCATAAACTTTGATACACTCAACCGAGCCAATCGAATTGTGAATTGGCTTGTGTCGAGTGCCAGAGCACGGTGAAAGGGGCGGGGATCGATAACGCAAACAATATGCAAGGGCAAACAAAGTTGTTCTCATTTGGCTGGTCATTACACCGATGGCACTTTCACTTTTGCTTTCACCCTCTCAGCAAATGAAAAGTTCTCTCTTGGCTCTCTCCAACGAGAATAATTAGCCAAGAAGCGTTACACAAAAGGCAAACTACAAGCAATTTATCCTGGTGGTAAATAGCTATAAATTGTGGTACGTTTTAACACTTAAAATAACTATCGATATTTATCGGACAAAAAATTTTCTTTTTGCTTGAATAAGAATGGATTTATTTTCAACACACTTTCTGTGGTGCGATGTGGATGGATTACTTCTATACATATTTATGATTATTTTTTCGTGTCTGTGTTATTTCTTTGGTTCAACGGCTTATGAAATTATGATAGTAAAAACCTACGGCGGCAAAAACAGCAACCAGCCATTTGAAAGCTCGTAAATCAAGCCCCACGCAATGTCTGCTCCGTTTGGCAAATATAAAAGATATTTTTCTTTCTTTTCTACTCCCCTTTGAAAAATAAAGCAAAAAAGAAAAATTCAATTATTTGCCATATGAAACGGTCATTGACTGACCGATGACTGGTCAGTGGCAGGGTCTTCTCTGGCCTTTCTTTGTCGAGTATGACATGACCTCATCCCTGGGCAACCTCCACTTTGTCCTGCATGACCTTAACCCTTGGGTTAGCTATTAATGTTTACGAGTGACGACGGGGCGAGACTTGGGTCGGAAAACGTTGGATAGTTGGACGACTTTGGAGGTACTATAAACATTATTCTTATTGATATGGAGAGCTGTAAAAATGGCAAATATTTGATGAACTCTTTCGCTCTCTCTCTCTGAGAAAATCGCCGGAATTTGAATGGAATATAAAAAGCCACTGCCCTGTCCGAACAATGTATGCATATTCCAATTAAACCATTTTTGACTGGACCTGCCCACGCTACGCACTTGCCTGCCTTCCCTCATTATCACATATTGAGTTTCCCAATTTCGAAGCCACAATCCCGCACACAGCCAGAGGGACAGGCCAATACCACGCGGTGGCGCAAATGCCGGTGACACATACATACATACATAGGATGAGGAAGGGACGCGCGAAGGTTCCGCATCGATGGACAGGCATAGCTCTGCTCATTTGCTGGCCTCATATGTCGCACTCTGCCGGTTTTATCCTGCCCCCACATACATACCTACATAGATACGTACACATGTATGTCTGTCCATCCCACATCCCGGACCCATCAATGCTGCAGGCTGCATGCTGATGCTGATGCTGATGCTGACGGTGATGGTGATGGTGTCATGTAGGAGTAATGGATGAAAACGACGAAAATCGGGATTTCGTGGGTGTGGAATGACTTTTGCGCCTCGCATTTAAATGAAGGCAGGCTTAACCGGATTTCGCTGTGTGGCCAGAGGAGCTGTTGGGAATGATTTTAAATCCACTTTCCTCATGTACCTTCTTCTCCTTCGTCCATGGGGATTGGCTGGTTTTTGACTTCGGTTTGGAAGTTGGTTTTGCGGATACCATAGACGGTGGCTATACATGGCCTCGTGGCGACTCACTCAACAGGCTCCAATTAACTTTCGTCAACTGCGTTAGCAGCTGCGTTTCCTCTAATTGGGTTCACTTTTACTGCATTTTTCCTATACCAGTGTCGTTGGTGCAGCTGTACTCCACGTGCCAGGACAGGGAGCGCCCCACGATGGTGTCCCATTAATGAAAAATACTTTTTGTAATTAAATAATAATTTCGCACGTTGTCTACATGAGGGGGAGATGTCAAACGATAGCGACAGGCCCCAACAGCCGCAAAAAGACGCCTTCAGAAATATGTACCTACAGAATATACATATGTAATATGTCTCTGGATATTTGTGTATTGTGTTTGTGTATGTGTTTATGGTTTAATGTCATTCGCTCGCTGAGTTTATGGGGTCGTTGTCTTTCAGGGCCAAAACAAAATGAGTATAGTTCTTGATGAACTACTTACAAATGTCGAGGCAATTCCATAAACCCATAGCGAGGGGAAGGTACGGGTATGTAGACGTAGACCTAAATGACTACTAAATAAGTATATATGTGGGTACAGGCGCGTTGGATTGGAATTATTTTGCCAGTTCACTAGCACAAAGTGAGTTGTTGGCTTTTTCTTTTGTTTGTTGAAAAGGCTAAGAGTCGAGAACCAAATTAAATCTACGATATATTAAGATTTACCTCTCAATCCATCCATTATGAAAAGGCTGATGGGCCTCTCTCAGAAATCTGATATCTAAAATTGCACGCATAACTGCCTGGAAAACTATGACTTTGTATTTGCCTAATTTCAACGCCTAATTAGTGGGCGCTGGGCATAAGTATCCACCTCTACTGGACCCAGCGGCAAACAGAAATATGTAATTAACTTGGCCAATTCAGGTGGTGGTGGTGGGTATGTTGCTGTCGTCAATTGCATTCGGCCGCAGGGCAGCATTGCGTATACGTAATTTATAAATGAATTGCACGCCTTTGCGGCTATCACGGCGTAGCCAAACCCAAGGAGTATTATAAACAAAAGGCAGACAGGGCGTGGCTGGAAGGGTGTGTAAGTAGAGGTTAATTCAATTAGTGTTGTGTTTGCATTTGGCCTTTGCCATGCTGTGCTTTGTATTGCGGCACATGCCACACTCTCCACCGCACACGCTCGCATCTACACATACAATTGGTATAATTGATTGAAGCAATCAATGCACTTTGCTGCACTTTAACTTGAGGCAATCAAGAGCCCGTATAAATGCATACAAATCCAGAATGCATACATCGAGAAGCTGCTCTGCCTTTTGGACTGGTCAATGGTTACGGCCAATATTTTTCAGCACTAGAAATTACATACACACATAGGTATGTACATACGAGTACTGGTGCATTTGTAAACCTCACTGAGAGTGGGGACCATAGTTCATCCAGGCAAATGTAATGGCAGTCCCATACACATGATAGCCACAGAAATGTTGGAAAATATCTTAAATTTTATCCAAAAGCCAACAAATCTGTACAGGCCTGCAGAACAGAGTTGTTTGTTTGGTATTTGCCTTTGACCAACAGTTATGGTGTTCCGGATATTAGGTGTGGGTGTGGGTGTGGGCTTAGAGCAGAGCTAACCAGGAAATTCCTGAGCAAAACAGCTGCAGTACACATAGTTCGGGGCAAATTGAAAAATCAGAAAAACCAACAACCACAACTACAGCAGCATACAGCGCCAAACAACCAGAATCGACATCAGCAAAGTATAAGCCAAAATATTTTTCCTACCTGCCAACAAATTGGCAGCCAAAATGAAAAACATTCGGAGATGATTGAAGGGCGAGGAAGGGAAGGCGGAGCAAAACGATGGACAGTTTCAGAACTAATATGGGGGAGTGGGTTGTGATTCCGCTAGTTCAAGGGAAATTTCCGAATTAATTGTTGGGCTACAAGCAAAAGTATGCAAAACATTTGTCTGGTGAGGGATGGAACCACATCGATCGATACTCCATTACCGAAAGAGTGTGGCATAAGCGATAGAAACCTATAAATCTGTAGCATCTCTCATCTAGCCAGTCCAAAATACATGTGAAAATACAATACATATATAATTAATTTCATCAGCATAAATGCCCACAATTCCCCATCTTGATCGACATAATAAGTATAAACGTGACCGAGGGAATTTCCATTATTGATGTACATTTTTAACTGTTTGTTTTTTGTTTTTCTGCAGGAAGCATATCGTCGCTGGGTGTGCAGCACGCTGGTGCCATATTTTGCCGAGCCAAAGGACGTTGCGCCACTCGGGAATGAGCAGAGTAGCAATGCGAAAACCCCGGGCAAAAACAAGCGTTCGGCGTGGAGTGCAACGTGGACTGAGGGAGGGGGAGCTGGTGGAGCTGGAGGAGCTGGTGGAGCTGGAGGAGTAAACGGAATCAAGCATAAATCTCTGAAATTAATCAGCAATAACAATAAATCAAATAACGGCAATAACATGAACGAGCGTCAGATTAATCAGAAGACTGACAAGAGCTCGACGGCGAATGGGAACGAGGAAAACGCAAACGTGAACGGGGACAATGACCGCAATGTGGAGGATGCGATTGGCAGGGATCTGGCTCAGACATTCTATGATGTTGTTGGCATGTCTAATCCCCACCAGAGCCAGGTGGCGGCGGGAGTGGAGGATGGAGGCGAGGGGCCAGTTGCCATGGCCGCGGCTGAGGCTGAAACACAATCCAATAATTTCATATCGACTGCCAATAATGCGGATCCCAGAGCCTTGGATCCAGTGATATCAAAACTTCAAAAGAGGTAAGTCGTCCCGAAAAGACCCATGCAGAAACATAATTCGTTGCCATCTCCCTACCACCGCAGATCAACACGCAAGACAGAGTTCCGCAAACGACGACGCATCCGGCCCTGCCTGAGCGTCTGCCAAACTGTGGAACAAAAGTGCCCCTATCTGCTGCCCGCCGACCGCGCCCCTGCGCTGCCCACCCAATATGCCGGCGAGCCGACATTTCTCTGCCTAGGTAAGCCCCTGAAATATGCCCTCTCAATATGCAAAACCTCATGCTGATTCCGCTGCAGATCAAAATATACCCGAAACTGGGGAGCAGCTGAAGAAGTCCAGCTACGGCCCCAACGACTGCTGCTACAGTTACTGCAATGGAGCCGCGAGCGGAGTGTGCACCGTGTGTCAGGACTTTGCCCCGCCCCCGCCCCGAGCGATCCCCAGCGATGTGGCAGCAAACTCCACCCGCCGAGTCCACAACATAACACTCACGCTAAGCTCTCCCCCCGGCGAGCATGCCCGGGCCAAGAGCGTGGCTCTGGCCCTGAGGAACGTGACAAAGGAGCGCGACAGCGAGCAGGACGCCATGGAGTCGCTGATGGAGCGCCTGCCGTACTATGCACGGCTCGACAGCATCTACTACTACGACGAGGACGGAGAGATGCCCAAGGCGCCGGTGTCCGGCAACTGTGCCCCCGTGCCAGCCGTCACCACTCGCTGCACATTCCCGTACTATGCCTCGGGCACAGAGGCCGCGGCACCGCCCACGCAGCTGCTCGTCTGGCTGAGTGCGTTGCTCGGCCTTCTCAGCAGCTGTGGGGCGGCCCGCAACCGCTGGAGCTGCAGCTGGAGCTGGAGCGGCGTCTGTGGGCAGCGCGGCAGTGGTCGCCAGTGCGTCAACTGCGAGGCCAGCTGCCACGAGCAGGAGCTTATCACCAGCACCAGCGGCGGCAGCGGCAACAGCGCTGCAAGTGCCTGCAGTGGCAACAGGAACAGGAGCAGCCAGCAAAGCGTCGATGGTAAATGCAAGGAAAAGGCTCCCCAATCAGAAGCCGAGGCTGAGGCCAACGCCGAGGATGGAGCTGCTTCCGGGTCGAATGCCTGGATGTGGGCGTGGTCGGTGAGACCACTGAATACTCATAGGCAAATGTGTAGCAAAGTACGGTACTTTAGTAGCCGGAGTAAGTTTAAATGCGAGTCGAGAGGTAGTGGTGGTCGTATAACCATGCCTAACTATAGAGACTTAGATCCAGTACGATTACGAGTCAGGATCAGGATCACAATCAGGTGGAGTTGGAGCTGGCCAGGCGGGGACGGGCGGTGGTGGGGGATGTCAGCGTCTCAGACGAGGGAGGGGTGCACTAGGACTATTAACTATCGCTATTTCTACTACTACAACTACAACATCAACGATTGGTGGCGGAGATGGTGTCTGGGGCAGCGGGAGGGGGAGAGGGAGGGGGAGGGGAAGTGGCGGACTGTGGGCAGCGGTGCCTTATAGTGCCTGCAAAACGATGGAAAAGGCGATGGAAAACCAATGGCTGCCCTGCCCGTACTGCCCTCTCTCTATAGGAAAATCTAATGATAGTTAAACCCGAAATGATAAATAATAGAAGTTGAGAGGTAAAAGCAGCTCATAGAAACCAGCAAAAAAACGAGTAAAAAAACTGCGGGAAAAGCGAATTAAACGAGACGTAAAACCAAAGCAAAGGAAAACCACATAAATATTTATGGTCCTCTTTCAAGTGAAATAAAAACCAACATGAATTATAAATCTCCATTGAAAACAAAAAACAAACAAAAAAAAAACCAAAATAGCATATTTTATTACAACTAGAACAAAGAATATTAATATTTAATTAAACAAAAAGCAACTGCCACAAGAATAGGTTTTTTAGATAAATGATAACAGAGATACAGAAACAAAAAAAACAACAACATTTAACAGGAGCATGGAACTAAACAATGATATATGTATACATACATATGTACATGTATGTATATGTATGTACGAGTATAACAGACGGAACCGAAACGAAGCGAAACAAAAAATAGTTATTAATTTAATTACTGGCGAACAACAAATACGAAAATTTTAGGTTAGCTAAAAATGAAACAAATAACGGAAACGGATACGGAAAACGGAATAATTTACAACTAGAATAACAAGGAAATTTTGAAAATAAAGAAAGAAAAAAAACAACGGCATAACTAAACTAATTAGCGGAAAAACCCACGACGACAGCCAAAAAAGAAGAAGGGAGAAAATACAATTTCACTAACAAATTGACGTATAGGCCGCGTATCAACCACCTTTCAAAGAAAACCAAAAACGAAACGTGAACTTTACTTAAAATTAGTTTAACGAAATATAAAAGAATATATTATATATGAAATACTATAGTCGAGAAAGGAGCAGAGACGAGGGTTGGGAGCGATTAATTAACAAATTAATTAATCAATTAACGAGACGAAAATAACAAAAATAACAACCGCAAACGTGTCTAAGAATTGTCTTTATTTAGTTTTAAAACGGAAGCATGATGTGGTTCACGATTTGATTTGAAAACCCAAAGGAACCGAATCGTAACGGAAATAAAACCAGGGAGGACGAAAGAGGCATGCAAAGCGCACAGTAAAACGTATCTTTAAGGTTCATTAAAGGATTCGGACACATACGGAAGCATTACCAGCATATAGAGCCATGATCCATGCGCCCCATTAACGTATATATATTTATATATACGATAGGAATAGAGAGGAAAATATGCAACGTAAACAGCAACAGGAGATAGGCAGGAGAAAGGCAAACAGCAACAACAACAACATACCTACTATATGAATAATAATAGTAATGAATAATAATAATTTTTGTAATAAAGTGAACTCTATGTAGCGTATACATATGTAATACATTTGCGAGGTATATATTTATAAATTATCAATTTATCGTACATAACTTGCAGAAATGGAAAACTATAGGAAACACGAAAAACGAAAAAAAATGAAAGAAAACAAAACTTAAGCCCTTAAGAAATATTCAAATAAATAGTCGTATTTGGTATTAACTAATTAACTATGAAGCTAAGTACGAAACAGTGTGAGAAAGTCACTCTGATAGAGCACACTCGCCAAAAAAAAAAAAAAAAAAAACATACACACATACATATACCTTAAGCACTCTTATACAATATAATTAGTTTAGTTAGTTTCTACTCACCGCATCATCGCTAAACGCTTTGGACATTTCCCAAATTCATTCGGAGATCTGTTAACGAAAGGTTTAATATTAGCCCACTGCAGGCAGTGGCAGAGAAACCGAAAATTCTTTTGAGTCTACCACTAGTGATGTTCCTCAACTTTCAGCCTGAATTCTGTTACTCTTCCGTTCCGTTTTCGAATTTCTTTCAACACTGACGCATTACTTTAGGAAGAGATAGAATAATAGGAATGGTATATGGATTGTGTTTAATGTTGTTATAGAAACCTAAAGGATAAAGGATATTACAAACAGAAGTAGTAGCATTCATCAAAGACCTCTCATCCATTTGATTTCTTTGATTTGCCCCCATATCAATGAATATTTGTAAATAGAAAAGAACTATGAACAATTCGCCTCATGTCCTTTAACGGCCTCATGTCCTGGAAACTGGGGTGCTTTTGCTATGTGAGTTTCTGTGTCCTACATGAATTTTCGTTTACAAGGTTTTTTTCCCCAATTGTTGACCCCGTCTGTGTAAAACTCTTTCCGCAACTTCCGCAATGAAGAGCACGAAATTTATGAATTTACATTAGCAACCAAACTTTTCGCTTATCTCGTTCCGTCGTCAGCGAGATAACTGTACATTGAGGCGAATGCAACCCATTTCTAAGAGAAGCGAGACGGACGAACGAAGGAGACAACAAGAGGCCAAGCACCGTTATCGGGGGGGCGAAACAAACAGAGCAGAAAGAGAGAGCCGCTGGCACAAATTGCGCGCATATTGAAATGCAAATTGTTATGAATTATTGTGTACTTTTGTAAAACTTTTTGATATATATAAAATAGTTAACATGAATAGATGCCTAAATAATAATAAATTAAATGTTAATTTATTTAAATGTAAACAATAAATGGACGAGAAAGTAGAAGGAGGTCTGTGGACGGTAGACGGTAGACGGTGGACGGTGGACGGAGGCGGGCAATCCCCATCCCGATCCCGATCCCGATTCCCATTCCACGTCTCCCTTAGAGTATGTATGTATTTAATAAATTGTACACGTTGGACGGTTGGCGAGAGTGTGTGTCCAGAGCGAGACAATTTTCATTGTGCGAGGAAAACAACTAGTTGAATTGAATTGTGTGAGTAACGGGGGTAGCGTAGCTCCGATCAAGCGACGATTATACTATATCGCGAACATTACTTTACCGCAGCGAACAGGCAAACAGGCAGCAGTAGTCGCATTGAAATCATCTCATCTGCGATCCACACACAATAACGAATTCCAGTCCCCATCCGAATCAATAACAAGTTAGCACGAATTATACAATAATTTTTGTAATTGATTAGCAGCTGCCACAACAAACAAAAACCAAAAAAAAAAAAATAATGATACCAATAATGAAACAAAAAACTCCGCTGCAGCAACAAAATGTATGGCAAACGGTAGCAATTATTTTCTACAAAAACCAAAAAAAAAAACTATTTAAAATATGTAAAAAAAAAAATCAAACAACAAAAGAGAATTTTAAAAACGAAAACCAAAATTCTTTTAGGTCAGAACGAAATTACATAATTGTGTGCCATGGCAAAAAGGAACGAAAAATATTAAATGTATTTGATATCAAAAAAAGAAAACACAGAAAGCCAAACAAATACGAAACCGAAAAGTCGAGAAGTCGAGGAGTCGAAAAGTCGAGGAGTAGAGAAGTCGAAAAGTCGAGGAGGAAGAGTAATAATACATGAAAATTCATAGCGTCAAGTCAGACAAATTTAATTTAATTAAATGAAAGCAAAACAAATAAAAAAGGAAGCAAAGCTGCTAGACAACAAAACAAAACAAAACAGAAAACAATATCCATTGAAAACGACTACTCAAACCATAGAGTTTTCCGAGGGAAAACGTTTGCAGCCACCCCTCCCAAATAACACTATCCTAGAAGAAACTGATAAAAACAAGTAAAAATCTAACATCTAACATCCCACATGAGACAGCTAAGAACTTTAACAAAATAAACTGAAATCTTCTGTACTTGTTGTTAAAAAGAATGCAAACCAAAATGCGTCATAAAAAACCAAAAATAGAAAACAAAAAAAAAATAACGAAAAAAACCCAAAAAAAAAAAATAGAACACGGAAAACGAAATTTTCATAGTCCTTAAGCTAAAATCTAAATACGAAAACAGTGGAAATTCCCCAGCCAAACTATCTAAAGTAATGAAATTGAATTCTGACTATCGAGAGATGGAAAATAGTAATACTATGTAATAATAATGGCAACTGGCATAATTATGGTAATTGTAAAATAATTAAACAATGACGTAAAAGTAAAACCAAAGCAGAAAACAAAAGGAATATAATAAAAAAAAATTGTTGTTATTGAATGTATTTGTATAGAAAAATTATTATGATTATGACGATGAATAATAAATGATTACAAAAATAATAATTATTGTTCAAGCCGAAAAAGCAAAAAAAAAAAACACATAAAAAAACAAATATATATATATACGAGAACACGCTTTTGACTTCCTTCTGGTACGGCGGAGGATCACAACCAGGCTGGGCGAGGGCAACCTCCACGCAGGCCCTTAATGACACCCCCGAGAATTTTCCAGGAAAGCAAGGAAAAGCCAGCCAAGGTTCAACCGACTTTAGCAGACATTTTTCACATTTTAACATATAGAAATAGTAAAGTGTTCCTTCGCTCCAGGAAAAACTAAGAAAACGCTCTGTAAGGGTGTAGAAATGTTGGCTCTTCTGGTGAACGGCGTGATCGCACTGCCATGCCAAATATTTCTATAAAATACTGCGCGGCTTTAGTTTTGCCAAAATAATCGCTACTAACGTGGGCTCAGTCGTCAAAACTTGATTTCCGCAAAGGAGAATCCAGCGAAGTGCCTGCAATCAAACCGAAACTTGGCCAGAATTTCAGCTCATGCTCAGAGGGCTGCGGGAAGTCCGTTGGAGCAGAGTCCTAGTATATTCTGGCAAATGGCATGTGTAAAAATCTCTCACGGATTTGCCTTTGAAGTGCCAAGGCTTGTGGGGGGCCGCAAAGGACTGTGGGTTTTATGTAACTTTCACTTTTCGCGCCCGCTCCCAACGCAGGTGCTTAACGGCTCTGGCAAAAGGCAGTAACAGCAACAGTAACAGAAGCAACAACACTCTAATTAAGCTAAGCCGAAGGGAAAACTCAGCACAGGAGGCGGAGCCCGAGGAGACCGCGGAGCCGAAGGGAGCAAGAAAGATCCGACAAGTAGCATCGGGATGCCGCCACCAGTGCCGAAGCTGGCTCATCTCTCGGCTCGTCGGGTCATCGGCTCGGCTAGCTGGCTGGCTGCCTGGCTGCCTGGCCGGGAAACGGAACTCAGATTGGTTTCGACTGGCGAAAGGGAAAGTTCGAGCAGCGGATACGGATGCCAGCGCCATTTGAGCGGTAATTTTTGCGAACTTTTGCGCGTGCTGCCAGTGAACGCACTTTTGGCGGCTAGTGTATACGAGTGTATATTTAAGGAGTATGTAGCTTTTCAGGTGTGCGTTCGCGTGTTTGTGCTTGCCTCTGGCTAAATATTTGCCAGCCATTAAAGTGCGGCGCTGCCCAACGGTTAACGGTCAACACAACCTGTCCTGTCCCCAAGTATTGTTTGTGCTTCCACTCGCTTTTCCCCCCACTGTGTAATTTGCATGTGCGGTTTTGTATTGCATGCTTTTTGGCACCAGACGACCAGAAATTTTCGAAAATGAGGCGAAAAAGAGTACAAATCAGTCCATTCGAATTATGGTTAACAAATCTGCTGGCGGAATTGACAGCTACATGGTTTTCTACTCAGATGAATTGTGAATGGCTAGAAGGTCAAAGGTGACACTAGCAGTTCTGCAATAATACCAGCATTGACATGGCTTTTCTCTTAATTGATTATAAGAATATACTAATTGTATGGCGGATGTTATCAGAAAAAACCTTTTTATATAAATCATATAAATCTATTTAAATCCATATAAATAAAACCATTTTAATATAATACTTAATTCTTCTCCAGCTCCAGACTTCTCTTAAGCTACTTAAATATTAATTGAGAACACTGCCGGAAGGGGTATTATGTGTGGAAAATGTGGCAAGTGAAACGCGCATTGTCGGGTCAGTGTCAGACCCTACTCGGTGTCCTCCTTCTGAGCGCCGCGTTAATAATTCACAGCGCACAAATCGGAGGAGCCGCGAAAGCTCAGCCGAGACTCGAACCCGGCGTGGGTGAGGTGAATAGCGCCGAGGCGGTCAACGGTGCGTATGGCGTGAAAGCGTTTGCGCAAAGTAATTGCGAAAATGGTTGGATTCTCCCCCAGAAAATGGACGTGGAAATGTGTCGAGGCGACTGCCGCGGAGTGTGTTCCATGTGCGATGGAATCCCAACGAAAAGTTCGTTGTGGAGAGTCGCGAGAGTCCGGCCATCAACTCCTCCAAGCTGGCGCCACATCCGCGGCTGAAGGTCTCCAAGAACACGAAGCTGACGCTCAGCCCCAAGCTGTACCTGTGCCACGACAAGTACTCGGAGCTGTGCCACAACAAGACGCAGCAGTTCCGGCAGCGCATCGTCCAGACCTTCGAGAAGTCCATGAGCGAGTCCTTCAACGACTCCCAGCCCAATCCCTACCACGTCGACTACAAGCCCGTGTTCGGGGACAGCTTCGAGGAGCAGTACTATCCCTCCACCTGCCTGGTCATGGAGGCGGGCGTGCGGGTACTCCGCCGTAAAGACAAACCCTTCGATAAGGTTCCCTTCGGCCGCCTCTTTCCGCGCCAGAAGCTCTTTCGCAACATCAAGAACATCAAGACGTGTGCGATTGTCTCCAGCGCGGGCTCCCTGGCCGGCTCCAAGCTGGGTCGCTTCATCGGTAAGCAGCTGCAGCCGCAGCAGCAACGAGCTGCACGCATGCACAATAAGTCGGAAGAACTGCTCATGATCATGATCAGTTTGATGATTTACCCGTCTACTCCAATTTCGTTTTGCTTTATTTCCATTCGATTCGTTCCCAGACACGCACGACATTGTGATGCGATTCAATCATGCGCCTACGCAAGGACACGAGGTGGATGTTGGCAGCAAAACCACAATTCGTGTGGTGAATTCTCAAGTAGGTGGCACCGAACCCGAACCCGAACCCGAACTGGCACCACAACCTAGTTCCGCACTCGCACTGCGTGTGCTCTCCCCCCACAACTTTGCCCTCCCCCCACAACTGTGCTCCTCTGCTCCCCTCTGTTCTTAGGTGGTCACCAAGCCCGAGTTTGACTTCGCCCACGCTCCCATCTTTCGCAATGTGACGATCGCCGCCTGGGATCCAGGCAAGTACAACGGGACGTTGGAGGACTGGCTCACCAGCGCGGACTATGACCTGTTCAGCAACTACGAGATCTATAGGCGTCGCTATCCCAAGTCGCGGGCCTTCCTTATTGATCCCCATTCCGTGTGGCGACTGTGGCAGACACTGCAGATGTTTGCCGGAAACCGTTCTATTAGGCGTAATCCACCCAGCTCGGGTTTCATCGGTGAGCATTTTGATTGCTTCTGGGCGCTTTTAATATTGCATCTGCATATTATATTGCATATATGTATTTTCAGGTCTGGCCCTGCTCTTGCCCCATTGTCCTCAGGTGGACTTTGTGGAGTATATTCCCTCCACGCGGCTCAATGGACGCTGTCACTACTACAGCAAGGAGGTAGACCACCCTCGCTCTATTCTCCTCCCAGCAGTGTTTCGATTCAATTGTTGATTCAATTATTTCGCTTGTATTCAGATGAATGCCGCCTGTACATTCGGCTCTTGGCATCCCCTGGCCGCCGAGAAGCTGATGACATTGGACATGAATACGGCGGATGACATGTCTGTCTTCCAGTTTGGCATATTGCGTATACGCAGGCCGGACAAACTGCTCTGCGGCTTCAACTTCTTTGGCTATTGAGGAAGGCGAGCCAGCAGCGGAAGCAGAGCTGACGGACAATCGACGTGCATTTAATCAGCGGTTTTCACCAAGTGCAATAAACAATTCAACTTTGCAATGAATATAAACTGAAGTATTATTTACCAATACTTGGATCGCTTGTCCCCTTGTCTCTCTGGGGAATGACGCCCACGCCTGCAATGGAGCCAGAGCCTGGGGCAGAGCCTCAAGTGGCTGAGCAGTTGATTCTTTTGGCTTTTGATTGCTTTTCCTGTTGGCTTGCAATGGGAATGGGAGCCCCGAGGTGGTGGGGGAGGAATTATGACTGGATTCATGGATCCATGTTTTTCTACCCATTAAATGCCATAACTGTTTGTCTACACGGACGACCTGAGTGCAATAAGTATTATTTCAGCCCCAAGGATGCCAGCAGCGTGTGGGTGTGGGTGGGTGTGGCTGCTGAGAGGTGCTGAGAGGGTGGAGGGGGGACAGCACTCATTAATACGTGATGCGGCATGCTGAACGTGCAGCGACTGCCAAACAGGAGCCGCCGACGCAACAACAGGCGACAGCCGAGAGTCAGAAATATGATGGCAATTTTCTGGTCGCTTTCCGCCGTTGTTGTCCCGCTGCTATATGCGGCGTATGCGCAATTAAATAAAATATAGCCAAAATAAATATTGGGGTTCCATTGAACCAGGAAAAGGACATGCATCGAAAGTAACGGCCGCCGCAACGCAAAGGAAACAATTCAAGGAAGTGATTTTGGAATGCCCGCCATGCAGATTTTAATTTAATCCAAATTTCAGAAAGGATTTTTCTATTTTACTCAAACCCAGCGGCCAGGTGAACCTTTCTTGAAGCCTTGGTTATCCTCTCTTCCTTTCGACAGCCCCGACAGAAAGTTCACCTAACTCGGCTTGAACACAAAAGAACTGTAGTCCGAATTCTTGATTTAAGCTTCCAATTTTGTATTGTTGTTTGCCAAATGCAAATAGCCAGACAGCTCACGTGTTTACGCTTATGTTTGCCTCCTGCCAGCTCTTTGTTTTGGTAATTGTGCAGCGCCCAAGCCCGGCTCGCACTGCCCAGGGACCACTGACCACTTACCACTTACCACTTACCACTGACCACTGACCATTAGCCGTTGGACGTCGTCCACTGTTCGCTGGCGTTTAGTCGACGATTTTTTTGGATATTTTTGATTTTGTTTATTTTATTATATTCTTTGTATTTTTTGCTGAAGTTAAAGCTCTTTGCGCAGTCGCGTTCGTTGCCCTCGTGTGAACGTGTTTGCAATACTTAAATTTAACGAAACAGAATTATGAATTTTATAGCTAAAAGTCATAAAATGATTGCTGATTGTGTAAAGGTCTTTGGTAAGGGTGGAACTAGCAAAGGGGCTGTGGAGGTAAGTTGTATGTCAGATATTGATGGTTTCAGTTGCTGTTCGATTTCAGAGAGGATTATCATTTATCATCACTGTCATATTATATGAATATCCCTAATGAAAATTGTACATATTTTCATATGTACGAAAAGCTTTACCATTTGCCTTGAGGGAACTTTCCTTAGGTTTCCATAAATATCTATCTTTAGCTGTTTGTCACATTTCGAATGTATTTCCTCTTAGTTGGGGCCCCCTTCCCCCTTCCGCCTTGTGCCACACTGCTCCATAGATGCGCCCCTAGTTCGGAGTGCAGCTTTTACGAGTACGTAGCATGCAAATTAAAAAATGTTGCCTTTTTATTGGATTTTTATCAACTGGTGAATGACAGCCCCGGTCGCCAGAGAGGGTCAGTAGCAACGAGCATCGGGCTTGACATGGACATGGACATCTGTTTTGAGAATCAAAATCGGATTCTGTCTGGTTGTCCCGCCCGCCCTTCTGGCATGTCGATTCGGATGAGCTTCTGTGTTGTGGTAATTGAAATGAAATGTCTGTCCATCTATCCTTTCTCTGCGGATGAATGTATTCGATTCGATAGAGGGCTGCTGGAATCCAAGCGAAAACTCATGAGTCAGTGGACAACACTCGAGTGAAAATAAAGAAACAATAAAAATATTATAATATGTGTTTCTTCGCTCGGTTTATTCATTTGCATTGCACGTTTGCTTAGCCGTAGCTGGCAGTGGTCTGCTTTTGTTTTGAAATTTTATTTTCGGGTGATAGCATTACTCAAGAGATTTCTTAGAACTGCGGGGATAGTCAGGCCAAAGATGCCGAAACACAATACAAGCCATAACTTCTGCACTTGTGGGGCTTTCCATTGATGAAAGGGTTAACTCAGACAGGGGGTGGGCGAGTGTGTTTACGAGTGTGTGTGCCCAGGGTGAGGGTGAGACATCAGGGCGTGTCCTACGACCACAACACGTAGACAACTGCAGTCCGATCCAGCCAAGATTCAGACAAAAGATGGCTGGAACAGCCAGGTTGAGAGGAGTCAAGGTCGGGATACAACATTATTTGTCTTTCATTATCTTCTGAAACAGATGCGTAAGCTATATATTTATGTCTAGGAAACAGTAAAGAGTATCTTTAATTACGAGCTAAACCTGCTTTTGTCGTGCCAGTCGGCCATTCTTATGTACATTTCGTTGAGATATAGACCGTATCTTAAAGCTCTCAGATGAAAATCTGTTGGGGTTACAATTTCGTCTTCTAATAAACACACAGAAAATGAGTATGGAATAAAATCTATATTTAATGGACATTTATTTTGAAGGATATCTTTTGATATGCTGATAAGGAGCGCCAGGCAACCAACCAATTCATCCATCAGTCAATCAATCACACTTCCTGCTTGCAATTGTCTTTCTGTCTTTCTTTTGTATCTAAAATCGTTAGTTTATTTGTTCGAGAGGCGACATTTTCAAAACATTTAATGGCAGTACAAAAGAAGACATTATGGCATCAAGAGCTCGGCAAGGGAGGGATGGATCGAAGGTGGCAGGCGGTAAAGGAAGAGAGCGAGTGCGAGTGCGAGTGCGAGTGCGAGAGGACGGCATTCCAGCACGTTTGTGTGCGTATAAATCAAAATATAAGAACAATATAAAACGAAATTTAGCATCGCAGCGCTGGCAAGCAAACGAATCAGAATCAGAAATGAATCGAAACAGAGGAAAGTGGAGGAAGGCGGCGGCGTGCATTTCAAATGATTCAGCTTGAACTTCGCACAGAAGATACAAACCAGAAGAGAAACAGATACAGAGGCTTACTTACGCAATTCATGGGCCTTAAGAAGAAGACGAGGGCTTATCGCTTAGGCCCAACTCAGTCCCAGTTCTCGCCAGGGCGGGAGGGTGACTCATGCCGCCATTGATAAAACGGGATCACGGAGAAATGCGTGAGCTTCCCGTTATACTCATCGCTCCATGCGCACTAAACGAGGAAGATTCCACTATGCTCAAGCACCGGATCGGGGGATGGGATGCATGTTGACAGGGAAGGACGCGAGCGTCAAACTGAGCGACTGTCGTATCGGCCCGGGTCGGATCGTCTCGTACTGATCGCCTTGCGCCCGGCCGTATAAAAGAATCTAAGCCGAGCGCTCCGGACCTCAGTCTAGCACAAACAAAAAACGCATAACCAACTTGCAGTTACAGCAGCAGGTGACGCTGCAGCAAGGCATATCATTAAACGAATACGAATACTAAAATATACGAATTTAATTCAATTAATTTCAAATCGAAAAACGTCTGTTTGTTTGTGCTTCCGCTACGCGCAGAGCTTTTCGCTAGACAAATCGCGAGAGAAGACAGAAGAGAGACAGGGAGAGCGCGAACCGGGCTGCGCCCTCGAGTGAATCACCATCGGTAAAATTCGGCTAACAGTCGGCTAACAGCTAGACAACAGTGCGTGCTAACAGTCAGCGGAAGGAAGGACTGCAAGCTCGAGGTGAGTTCTGTTCTGTTCTGCTTTCGGCTTTCGGCTAGAAGGAGAGCTTTTGACGCCGCTCCGCCTGCTCCTGTTGCTTTTTAATCGAATGCAAGGGCTGGCCGCCTGGCTAATATTTTCAACCACCAAAACTAGGATTCATGGGTGTTCCTGTGTTCGTGTGTGTGTGTGTGTGTGTGTGTGGCAGTGCTTTATTATTGCTATTCGCGTGACTCGTAAATAAGAAGCCACACAGACACCTCCACACGGGGCATACACACGTACGAGTATAGGTTCAGGTACAGGTTTAGTTATAGCCATTAGACACACACGAACACACCCATGGCACACACAGCGGCAGAAGCAGACATATTTTCGCTGCCACAACAGCCACAGGCACAGGCACAGCCACAGAAGTAGAAGTAGCGCCCAGCCCCAGTGAGTCGTATACGAAACGTGCTTTGAAACGGTCGCGCCGCTCGTCCTCTGCCAACGTCTTGGGACTAACCGTTTGAGTCGGGCGAATATTCGAACAGGCAGTGTGAATAAAGTGCATATTCCGCAACCGTAGCCCCTGCGAGCGAGTGTGAGTGAGTGAATGAGAGTATGAGTGCACGACTACGATTGCCTCTTATCTAACTACCCGCAAGATCTAATCGCCATCGGAGCAAGATAACAGGTGATAAAGTTTAAGACAAAAAACAAAAACTTTCTGTGCAATATTTGTGTAGACGACCCGTGCAGGCGACTTGATTATTTATGCAAATTGTGTGTTTACTCAATTAACGAAAGTTTTTGAGTGTATTTTGTGGTAAGTGGTGAGTCACTCACCCACTCACTCTTGGGCTGGAGCTACTCCGCCATGGGATCTTCAATATTGAACTCTGGGAAATATTTCGATCTGTTTTGTCTGCCATTTGACATTGGCCTTTTGCCTGTTTCTCTGCCATTCAAGCCCCAACAGTCATCACGTAGACGCATTGTAAAATTCTAATTCATAGGCTATACAAAACAGAGATAAATATTGACATACTCGTATATACATACATATGTATGTCGGTATGTATGTATATAATTATGGGTACATCAAATATTTCATATATCGCTTGCCAAACGAGTATCCAAGCCTGACCGTGACGTGATTGAGTTTTAGAAATAGTTTTTCGCACTCAAAGTCGAGCCATAGACTCGAATACATACTGTTCAGATGCATAAGCGAGTACATAAAATATTCCCCTACAATTAGCATTATTTTCCTAATCTATATGACAATTTTGTACATGAACATATAGAATGTTCTGCTTGGTTTGATTCGCTTCATCGTTCATCGTCCACAGTTCAAAGGCAGTTTTCAATGCAAAAATTTGGTTCGAAAAAGTTCATTTATCTTTCGGTCGAAGGCAACAAACTCGATGCGCAGAGTTCTGAGGGGAGAGTGGTCTAAAAATACCATAAATAGTTGTCATTAAAGGCAGAAGAAGCCCATAAATATTTCATTGTTCCTATGAAGACAGACTGCGGCGGAGGGGAGGACAGCAACTGGAAACTGCATCACAGCAGGCGGGGACAACAACTTGTCCATGGCCATAACAGCAGGCAAGATACGATATGGTGTTGTGTGGATATAGAGAGCCCAGAACCCAGTAAAGAGGCGGAGGAGTGGCGGTTGGGGGTCGGAGACCAGGCCAGTTCCAGAGGGTCCATGAACAAATGGCAGAATCAGCCCAGGCTTTGTGTCGCTTCCCGTCTTGTCGTGAATCGTTAAGAACCAAGAAAGATGCACTGGCATTGTGGCGCGACTCTTCAGATACCCTTGTGGGATATCAACGATCGTAGAACTAGTATACAGTGATACAGCAGTTGTGGCATATTATTATTCATCATACCCACTGCAAGGGTACAAAAACTGTCAATTATTAAACGAGTATACAATTTACAAGTCAGTTGCTCTTTTTCAGTCAGCTCCAAGGTCCAACTGAACCTTCGGTCTGTAAACGATCGTCACATAAGAGATTATTAGATCTTTTTTGCGCTTAGGTACCAATTTACGAGCCTCTGAGTCACTGCAATTGCACACAATTGCTGGTAATGGGAGGATGGAATAGTACTACACGAAATTTTATCATGGATTCTGGGAACACATTCGAATAGATCTTATTGGCAGACGTGTGCCACGGATTGGGTTAATTAGCGCCCCGGAAAGTTTATTTGCTTACGCATTACTCACTCGACTCGTTCGTTCATTCATTGAGAAATCGATTGGCGACGGGGGATACCAAAGCGCAGATTCATTCATAAATTTCTGAATAGGCGTTACTCGTTTGAAGGGGCGTGGCCACCACAACGACCACAACGGAAATTCAACAGATTCAAAGAGTCTTGAGTTTTACAGTTTACTTTAGCCAGCGGTGGGTGTCTCAAGGGGGAAACGCTAAACTTCAAGATAAACTGTCAATCGCCACTGTGGAGGCTTCTGCTGCCTCTGTTTGCTGGACCCGACCCGGCGACGTATGACACATGTTGATGATTCCAAGAAAACGCGTTACTCATTCCCCCCTCCCGCAGAGACAGAGCGGCAGGGAGCGGCTAAGGCTGAGGCTGAGGGCGAAGGGGGAGATCAACTTCGATTATTGGCAACAGGTTTACCGCCTCCCCCCAGCAACGGAATCCCCACACTCAGCTGTTAGCATAGCTCTGCGAACAGCGAACAGCGAACAGCTCTGCTCTGCCAAAGAGCTTTCCGCAGAGCTTCAAAAGCTCACCCGACCGATCGGGCGGAGCAGAGCAGAGCAGTCGTTGTCGTTGTCGTTGTCGTTGGCCCCCGCCGCTGGCCGAAGATCACTTGTTTTTTGCGCGGTGCCCAGAGCGGATGTGTTGTGTGTTTATCGGCGAGAGACCGAAACGAAGTTCGAGTTCAAGAATCCAACCAACGAATGTATTGAAAAGATTTGAAAATATTTTAAGGAACAAGATCGGAGACCGTACCGGAGTCGAAAAGTGAACCGTTACGCAGTTCAGTTTTGAGTTTTGAGTTTTGAGTTTTGATTTCGCGGAAATACAATAGCCGGAAAATGTCAGCGAGCAATTAGTGCAGTTTCTCGTCCAGATCCAGAGCCACAGTCAGACATAAAGAGACAAGAGTAGAGACAAAAGGATTGGCTGACTGGCGTAATAAATAATAAACAACGACACATCCAGAGCTGATGAAAACGCCCACAGTGGAATACGCAACAACAGCAACAGAAACAGAAACAACGACGACGACAGCAGCTACAAAAAGCAACAAAAAAGCTAATTAATTAATTTGTAAGTGTTGCAAGCAGCCAACAAAGGCAGCAACAATAGTTCAATGATCTGTGACTGCATCGAGTGCCGCCAGCAGAAACTACCATCCACAGACCCCACATCCACCCCACCACATCTCACACGCACTCAATTGAAAGGTCAAGACAAGAGACCAAGCTGATAAATCAGCCCATTCATCAGGCCTAATTCCCCAGTGCCCGGGCCCGGTCCCAGTCCCACTTTATGCACTCCACTTGGAAGTGAACTTGAATTCGATTCCGATTTGGATTTTAGTTTCGTAATGAGTCTTCTTGCACAATCGAAATATAGTTGGGCCCGGGCCATATCACTAAGGTCAAGTTCTGAACACCTCGGACACATATTTATTGATTTCGGCGTGTGGACGCGACTCATACACCAAAATAATTGTTAAATCACTTGGGCCGGAGCATAACTCCCAGCCAAGCCCAATCATATCTTATCGCCGAGCATATATGCATGTATGCACGGGCTCTTGTCGGCTGATAAGGTGAACAATGCCAAAAGGCTATATCAAGTGGAATTTATTGTCGGGTTGAGTAATTGTCGGTAATTCCAGGGTATTTTTCAATAGCCAAAGACGCCAGAGCGATCGATAGAGAGACATAGAGAGAGAGAGAGAAGCCCAAGAGTTGGACGAAACTGGTTAGAATCGAAATCTTTTTGCATCTAATTAGATTCCGAAACGACAACAACTTTGAGTCACTCATTTCTCGATGAAAGAATTTCGACTCGGCCAAAATTCAGAAGAATATTGAGAGGAACGAGAAACCGGTTAGCAGTTGGCCAAATCAAGCTTATCAGCCATTAAACGAACTCTTCTTTATGACCCAATTCAGGCGCATACACTCGCACATGCTCCACATGTCGTATACGTAACGATTCCGATAAAAGCGGAAGGGTGGGGAGGGGGAAGCCGCAGGCAGGGAAAACTTTCGAGCATAATGCAATTTCCCCCACTGAAGGCACTCGAATTTCGCTCATATTGATCTAACAAACAATGAAATGCGTTCATTGTTATGGCGACCCCACAGCCATAGCCCCAGCCCCAGCCCCAGCCACAGCCCCACCCTTCAACCCATCAGCGGAGTTAACCAAACGGAGCCAACCTTAAACTGTCAACCGGGCGACCTTCAACCCGAGCGAAACATTTGCCCAAAATGAAAATTGTTTATGGTATTGCTTTAACCAAAATTGTTACAATCAGATAAGTCAAGTTCACAGCAGAGAGAGTGAGAGCAATGGAGCAGATGCAAACACATCTATTATATATATTTATATGATCATTTGGGCAGATCACGCCGCTAATTGCAGAGTATAAAGAGAGAGTTTGCCATTGTGTTGGCCCAGCCAGCCCCCACAACAGCCAACCATCGCTGCCAGGGCAGACTTAACTTGTATATAGAAGTATACCAGCCATATATGTACATTCATACCTTGTTTGTAGACCCTAACCGTTGCCACTTGGCGTATACTTGATATCGCACTGACTTATCGCACTTTCCGCCCTGTCATTTGCGCTGATGTCACACGCAGCGTGCTGGTTCTCCCCCAAGGAGGAGGAGGTGAATGCCTGAGTCGGATCAGCATAGGTGTATGGCAAATCCCGCCGATCTCGGCCGGTAAACATCGTCATAAACATAACCGTTGTTGATAAAGCCCATTTGTCCGATTCTGTTGCCGACTGTCGCTGGCATTTGTCTCGTGGCCGTGACTGGGTCAACATCATCGTAGGGGAAAACTATTTTTACCAAATCAAATATCACATAATAAACCGAGCGGGCTCCTTTTACAGTTACGGCCGAGCTGGTATTTACCATAGGCGCTGTCTAAAATAAAATTCTAATTGGAGTCTAAACTTACACGAATCGTTTATTACGTCCAAGAGCCGCATGACCGCATGACTTTCTACATATATCTATCCTATCAACAGCAGCGACAGGACAGCTCAACGAATCCGTAATGCTCTTGCGGCTGAGATTAGGGAAGAGCCTCTGCAAATATTTGTGACGATAAGAAGTACACCTAATGGGGCCTGATGATGATGGTGTACTAAAGGTGGATTTCAGTTTGTTGTCCCCAACATAAAGACCATTATTCACATCGTAAAAGTGAGGGTGGAAATAATCATAAATACAACTACGAGTATAAACTAATTGGTGATAGAGTCTGTTGATCGGATGAGGTCTCTATACTATACAGATATCATCTGAATGTTCAGTTCCTCTATTCTCCTTTCGAGAGGGTATCTGGTTTTATTTTCTCCATGTCAAGAGCGTCATAAGTGGCCTGCCAGGGCTCGAGTAGAAATACTCAGGTTTTACTATTTTTTACTACGACTTTGAGTACTATAAAGAGCCTTCGTCTTCGTCTGCTCCCTCTACTATCCCCGGCCATGCGCTGCTTGCAACGCCGGCAACTTCCGTTTGTCGTTCCGCCTGCCACAGAGAATGTGTGCCACATTCAACCTGTTGGCACTTGGCAGGGGGAAATCTGCTGGCACGAGTTGGACACGACTTCCGTTCGCCCTTTTGCACTTGTACTTGGCCTGGTCTGCTCTGGCGAGGACCGGTGTGGACATGGGACTGTCTGTGCCTGGTGCTTTATTACTCTCCTTTGCTTTATGAAATATTAATTGACCTTTTCTCCACGTTCTCGTTTCCCATTGTTCCCCATTTTGCAGTGATATAAAGTTCAAAGTGCGCCCCCAGCACGAGTGCAAGTGGAACTTTTGTACATGTACACGACAATTAGAAGGAGAACTACAACTACCAACAGCGAAAGCAAAAGCAACAAAATGTCCAACTGCCAAAGTTCAGTGTTCATAGCCGTAGGCACCCTGCTCTCCATTTTGGCGGCAGTGCAGGCGGCTCCAGTATCCACCACCACACAGGCCGAGGTGAGTAAATAATTCATTAAATCCATAATTCCATAACTAGAAAATCCATTTCTGCTGAATAATTCCCATCAAATTGTTAAATTAAATCGAACGTTTTTCCAACTCATTTGCAATTCATATAAAGGAAAAAACGGTATATAATGCATTTATTTCCTCCTGGAAAACCATCAAATGGAAGGCATGCAATCCAGAAATAAAAAATTAAATGAAAAATGAAAACATAGGAAGGGCGCAAAGGGCGCCGAGCACAGCAAAAAATTGATCAGGAAAAATATATATACCCTGCCGAGTAATGAATCATTTTTTGTGATAAGAGACCAGGACAGAGGGGGCTGAGGTGGGGGTTTGTTGCACTTGTGAGGTGACAGTTAACTGCACGGGACACCCGCTTTGTCCGGCTCTCTCTCACACTCTTTCTGTATCTCTATAAAGCGTAGGCATATATATATTATTTTATATAATTTGCAACTTTACTTCCGATTTGCATGACAAACGTGCCAGGCGCTCAGAGCTCTGGCGAGCGTTGATTTTCGGGGTTGGCTGCATTCGGAAATTATACTTAATTTTACACTAAACTGAACAATACTCCATATATGCACATATACCTATATATATGTGATACGAACATATGTGATATATGGCTGTGTGTGACTGTGCAACAGGCTCACGCGCATCGCATGTCAACACAAATTTGTATTCCACTCACATGTTGGTCTGGCTGGGGGACTGGGACTGGGGACTGGGTCTGCCTCTGATTCTGGCTCTGACTCTGGCCTTAGCCTTTGTTGGTGGTTTTCAGAAAATGCATGCACATTGGCTAATTGCAGTCCGTTTATCGTTATCGTTATCGTTCGTGACATTGGTCTATGGAAAACGTGGACTTGTGCACCGCTGCACCTTCCCCCCAAGGGAAAATCTCACGCCCTTGACTGGGCCACACCGCCCCCGCCCCCGGACTAATCGATTCCAATGCATTCCGTTCAATTCAATGGGCGAATCCCTCTAGGGAGAGGCATTCCCAAGAAAACACTGCTATTGATTACGATTGGATTTCCACTCTGAACATTCAAACATGAATGAATGTCGAATGTGTTTCAGTTGAGGCAAACTCCACCCGAAACTCCTCTGCAAAGAATTGTAGGAACTGGGTATAGAATTCCCGCTCTCTTGGATCTTCTTCCCCCCAAAAAAAACTTGTTTTCCCAGCTAATTATTATAAATATTTATCTCCGCTTAATTGCTTGTCAAGAGTGCTGCTTACCCCCCCCTGAAAATTTCCATTTACAAATTCAGCAACGGCCAAAGCTGCGGCACGTCTGCACTTCGATCTATCTACCCGAAGCTAATCACGTTTGGTAGCCGCAGACTTGCATAAATTAATGGAGAATCGAAAGGCATTAACTAAACGAGGGGCGGGGGCGAAGGGACGGCTGGCATAAACACTTTTATAGGGGCACGAGCACCTGTAGTGAAACTTCCTGATTAGCCATTTACGTGTGTACCCAGCACCTCTCCCCAGATATCCAGCTATCCAGAGACGACTGCGAGTTCCCCTTCCCTGGAACCTTTGAAAATCGCTCAGAATCGATTTGATTCTGATTCTGAAACAGAAACAGTACTGAACATTCTGCACCAGCACGCATGAGCGCGTGCTTAACATTGTGTTTTATTTGAGTTCAGTCCAGTCCAGTGTTTTGCCTGGGCTTTACGTAACTCTCTGGTCAGCCAGTGAGCGATCTGGCTAATTGATATGTTGGGTGCGTTGCCAGTAACTTGGCTCGTTGTCGTTGGCCAGTCGCCCCAAAACCAGCTAAGGCGACAGTCCAGCCGCTGACGACTGACGTGCGGCTCCATTTGTGCCTCTGTGCCCCCCCCTCTCTCCCGTGGCCGCCCGCCTTTGTTCTCTTCCTCAAAGCTTTTTCTAATAAATCTCCAGGGGAATGCAAATCACAGAGACCACCGATGGGGAAGTCGTGATTCGCTGAATCTCCGCCAATTCTCTTGTTAGCGATTAATATTCCGCAAAGTGCAACAAATCATTGATTAGATCTGATCCGATCAGATCTAAACAGGGAATAGAGTTAGGCTCTACTGTTGCATATATGTATACGAGTGAAAAAGATTGAGTCACTTTCCTAGCGCTCTAGGGAGACGACGAAATGCCCTCCCCCCCAGCCAAAACCATCCACAAGTCCCGCCTCGCACATTATTCGTACTGTCAAGAGGTTAATTAACAATGAAGGAAATTGAAATGAGCGCGGGCCACAGACTCCAGATTCGTCATATGTATTCGGGCAACTCGGGCAAAACTCTACTCCCGGGCTAATTATAACTAAATCCAAGCCAAGGAGCTGGGGCTGTGGCTGGGGCTGGGGCAGGGGGAAGCTTCAGCGTGCGTCACCCCTGCCAAGCAGCCAGGCTAATTCGCACTTACCCACACTTCGGGACTCATTTCCCCCCGTTAGGCAAACGAATCGATAAACTCTACCGACAGCAAAGTTGGCTGGTATTTATGTACTTTTTGCCAAGTTTGATTGATTTGCCTATGAACAAAGTTGCGTGCGACCTTCGCGAGGTGCCGCCGCACAAAGGATAGCCAAACACGGTTGCAGCAACCTTGCCACACGGGCAAACAAATGATAGTTTTTGCTGCGCCAACATCCTTTTTCAGACAGGCACTCCTCTAAGGTCGTCGTCTATCGCTTGGCATTTCACGCGTCTCGCCATAAACAAAAAAAAAGTAACTGCCTCCATTACAGCCCAAACAGGAATCGGAATCCGGAATAGGAATAGGAATAGGAACACAGCAATGAAATCCTTTTTTTGCCAGACTTTTGCATAAAAACGACTCACCTTTTTTTTTGTTTTGGCCTGGCCGGTTATCTTCGCATCTTGACGCTTATTTATCGCCAAGTGAATTAGCCACAGGCCACAAAAAGTGGCTGAAAAAGTGTGGCAAGGGTGGTGGTAGCGAGGTGTATGTGTCAGAGACGGAGCCACCTTCGAGCGGTGTGTGTCGGTGGAAATGTCAAATATTTTATGGAAGGTTTCCCCTACTTTGCCTTTCCCATTCTCAGCCCAAGTAAATGTCATGGAAAACTTATACGGATTGATACTTGTAGATATTATCAGATATGTAGGGAAAATTCATTAGTTATTCAGTTATAATCACATGTTAAGTGGCGTTCAAGTATTCAGTCCCTGGACATCCATTAACGGATCGAATCCACCTCCCATCCACCATGGCTCCACGATAAATACAATATTTATGAATCAAAGTATAAACAATCCTTTCGTTGCGAGTTGTTTGCCATCGACAGCTACTTGACTTGGAAATTCTTTCAATTAAAATGATTTCTCGACTCACTCTAAGCCCCAACTAAAACAAATTGTAAATGTTATACAACTTAAAGCTGGATTTAAGCCTCGAGTTGGCCCAGTTTCTGTTTTCCTTTGATTTCGGTTTCTTTTTCCATCTGCTCAGTCTCCTCGTTATAGAGAGAGCCAAGCCAGTTGAGTGCGGTGCGTCAAAAAGAAATGCCATGCCGCCTGGCAGCCAAATGAGGCGCCTGCGCTTAGACTCCCCCCCGCCACCCGCCACCCGCCACCGCCCAATGGGGGCTGGCCAGGGGTCTGTTTAGTGGATAATGATGTAATCGTTAAGTAAAAAACAGTTAAAACAAGTTAAACGCGTTTGCTAGGCCGGGAATCAACTGCAATTGCTGTGGGAAAAAGGAAAAACCTCATCCATTGGCCTGTAATTGGCGGCGACACTTTCGCTTATGCACGTGGTTGCCCCACGCAAATATTTGTGCAACTAGGTCTAGGTTTATTTGTGGTGTGCGGGGGCACAGGGGGAAAGGTGAAAGGCGAAAGGCGAAAGTCAACGACCTGAATGACCCACATTCGGAACGTAAACTGGGCACGCACCCACCCCCCGAAAAACGGAAAGCGTGGGCCACCAAGAAATTTTCACTCGAACAAGCTATAATTTTCCCATCAATTTGTAGTCGTTCCTTGTATACTTGTATACACGACTCGTACACCGATTCTGTTTATAATTTATGCATGTCCTGGTCTTGTTTCTGACGGAAGTGTACAAGGCGGCGAAGACGCCCACAATCCCAGGGAAGAACTGTTCGAATCGAATCGAAAGTTCATTGACTCCCAGTAGCTACACATTCAGGGGCCATTCTCCAACCTCCTCCACTGTGTTCCACTCCCATTTGCCTTTCGAAATCGAATTAAGTTGCAAACTTTGCGCCAGCAAATTGTGTTAAATATTTGAAGGTTGTACTGCAGTTGTATTTGTGGCTTAAGTTTCATGCTTGGAGTCCTACTTCAGTGTAGCATACATTACAGAGCCAACACAGACACACACACACACACACACACAGCGCAGTTGCAAGCCCCCTTTGGGGCATTTCCTCCTGCAAGTTCAGCTCTCTGTCCAAGTAAACCAGGCAAGCAGGTCAAACCATACGACTATACTACTGAATAGACACACGGGTCAGGTATCCACAGCGACTGTGGATATACTCGTATGCAGAGTGTGATGGGGCGTGGTTGGAGCCGTTCTGTGTTGACATTTTGGCCAGCATTGAAATGCTTGTTATTATCCAAAGCAGCACAACAAATTTGTGTCAATGTCCAATAATAAATTGAAGTGCAATTTCAACGCCCTCTGAAACGTGACCCGCAACAGCTCGTGGCCCCAGGCCCCAGGCCCCAGGCCCCCCCCTTGGAAACCTGTGTAATTTTCAATGATTTGCATGGTCATGGAGCACACGATGCATCCCAGAACGGTGTCTCCCCCAGTGATCACATGCAACTGCACGTAAATCTCAATCGATATGCATGCGGATGCATCTAACGAGCTAATCGGCAGGTGCGGGGGTAGGGGGAACTGTATCGATGACTCCCAAAAAAAAATACCGTATAAAATCGGGCCATTTCCGTTCTATCCCCGACTTCCGCTTGCCCTGTGACGCACACACTGCGAATCCACAAAAACCTGTCCAGCCAGAGAGAGAGACAGAGAGAGCCAAAGAACAATGCGTCACGAAATGAGTCAATTTCTGACTGACAGATGGGAGGCATTGAGTGTCTTTTGTTTGTTGCCAAATGAAGTTATCTTATCGATGGACAGAGAGATAGTCGGTAGTGGAGGGGGGGTATTAAGGCCCGAAAGAGCTCTCGTTTGAGTCCAGAACAATGCCTTGCAATCGCCCTCCAGCTGGGTCGAGCTGTTTGCTCTATGACAAAAGGTGCATCGGAGTCACGCCACAGACATAACGCTTTTCCCCACAATGGAGAGCCGCACACAAGTTCTGTAATCAAGCGAAGCGTGCCTGCCCCGGAGGAAGGTGTTCAGCATTCTGTGGGCTCGCCACAGAAGTCAAGCGAATAATTATGTTAATTACATAAAGAGGCATTCCTAAGGTCATTGCGGGAGATGAGTCAATCCCAGCTCGAGTGCCAGTCCTAAATGTGTCAGTTTGCTCTGAGTTCTCGCATCGATTCACAAGCGGGATGGGACTTGCATTGCCTTCTCAGTTGAACCCTGCATTTGTTTACCACAGACCCAGGAAAGTTCGTTTACCTTTGGGCGAGACCCGGGCCCGGGGGCGGACTGTTGTCAGCTGATCAGTGGATTACCCACCCAGAAGACCACAAGATTATTGAGCGAGAGGTTCTGGCAGAGCACTGAGACCCGGCTATGCATACTTATGCGATAAACCCAATGTTTACTTCCTCGGAATGAATATACGCGTATAATTAAATTAACAGTCAGCTGGCATTATGCAAGATTCGGCAAATCATTATACAGTACATATGGCGGTGTCATTAAGAATGTGCGACACATAAACGGAATGGAGACCTGATCCACATGCCAAATTGTACACACAATGTTTTTCTCCGTTTTCTCCGTTTCGGTTCTCGATTCTGGCCGACAGACAGACCCCGTCCGTCTCCGTCGGACCGACTGCTTGTAACACAATTTGCCGTTGTAATTGGTCGGACAGCTACAGCGAATAAAATAAAATTAGACAAAACGTAATATGTATTATATAAAGAGATAACTGTTAAGATAACCTCGCATTGTTCTCCACGGTGTTCGGTGCACTTCCCTGATAGGCAAACAAGCGGCTGCTTTTTTAATACGATTTCTCAATGTTACAATTCTCAATTAGTCAGCCAGAGGTTGTAATTGAAACGCTTCCTTAATGCTGGATACTCGATGCTCGATGCTCGATGCTCCGACGGAGATCGATTAAGAAGTTTTCACACCTCCGCCAGTCACGTCGCAATGTAGTTTCCATATACGTTTCCATATACTCGATTGTCCGACCACTCCGCCCCTCCGCCCCTCCGCCCCACTGCCCCGCTCTATTCCGCTCTCCGTCTTATATAAATTATTAGCAAGTGTGGCAGTCATAAATTATGCAAGTCAGATAGAGCTGCGACAGAGTCAGAGGCACTGTCAGGACATGCCAGTGCCAAGGCAGAAATAGAAGCCGCAGCGGGATAATCGGATGGCCATAAATCAAGACGGCCGCCCTGGTGGGGCGCCGCAACCCATTGATCTTCACTTGCAGCCAGAGCTGTCAGCCAGCCCGTCATTCAACCGTTGTGTCCCCTTTTTTTCCTCCTTTCTTGCAGATGTATCTCTCCCAGTTCGGCTATCTGCCCGCCTCCGCCCGCAATCCTGCCAACAGTGGACTCCAGGACAAGTCAACATGGCTGAACGCCATCCAGGAGTTCCAGAACTTTGCCGGCCTCAACATTACCGGCGAGCTGGACGACGAGACCCTGAAGCTGATGTCCCTGCCCCGTTGCGGAGTGAGGGATCGCGTCGGCACGGGCGACAGTCGTTCGAAGCGCTATGCCCTGCAGGGCAGTCGCTGGCGGGTGAAGAACCTCACCTACAAGGTCTCCAAATACCCCAAGCGGTTGAAGCGCGTGGATGTCGATGCTGAGATTGGCCGCGCCTTTGCCGTTTGGTCCGAGGACACTGATCTGACCTTCACGAAGAAGACCACCGGCCCCGTGCACATCGAAATCAAGTGAGTGTCATACACAGATGTCCGTTTCAGACCGGTTTCTCAATGGATTCTCCACACAGGTTCGTAGAGAGCGAGCATGGCGATGGCGATGCCTTCGATGGACAGGGCGGCACCTTGGCCCACGCCTTCTTCCCCGTTTTCGGTGGCGATGCACACTTTGACGACGCAGAGCTGTGGACTATTGGCTCGCCCCGCGGCACCAATCTGTTCCAGGTGGCGGCTCACGAATTTGGACACTCCCTGGGCCTGTCGCACTCCGACCAGAGCTCGGCTCTGATGGCGCCCTTCTACCGCGGCTTCGAGCCTGTGTTCAGGCTGGACGACGACGACAAAGCGGCCATCCAGTCGCTGTATGGCAAGAAGACCAACCAGCTGAAGCCCACCAATACTTACCCGCCCAGCACGCAACGCCCCTCGTTTACGCCACCAAAGGTGCCGCTGGACGACAGCATCTGCAAGGACTCCAAGATCGATACGCTCTTCAACTCGGCCCAGGGCGAGACGTACGCCTTCAAGGGCGACAAGTACTACAAGCTGACCACGGACTCCGTGGAGGAGGGCTACCCCCAGCTCATCTCCAAGGGATGGCCGGGACTGCCGGGCAACATCGATGCCGCCTTCACGTACAAGAACGGAAAGACGTACTTCTTCAAGGGCACCCAGTACTGGCGCTACCAGGGACGACAGATGGACGGCGTCTATCCCAAGGAGATCAGCGAGGGATTCACCGGCATTCCCGATCATCTGGACGCGGCCATGGTCTGGGGAGGCAATGGCAAGATCTACTTCTTCAAGGGCAGCAAGTTCTGGCGCTTCGATCCCGCCAAGCGGCCGCCCGTCAAGGCCAGCTACCCCAAGCCCATCTCCAACTGGGAGGGGGTGCCCAACAACCTGGACGCGGCGCTCAAGTACACCAACGGCTATACGTACTTCTTCAAGGGCGACAAGTACTATCGATTCCACGATGCTCGCTTTGCGGTAAGCATACCATTCTCCGTCCCCTAGTGGATCTCATCATCTAATGATTTGCAACATTCCATCCATTCCGTACGCAGGTGGACACTGCCACGCCCGCCTTCCCCAGACCGACGGCACATTGGTGGTTCGGCTGCAAGAATACGCCCTCGTCCACAGGTAATATTGTCGAGGGCTCGGACTCTGAGTACGAACAGCACTCGATGGTATCGCATGCCGATGATGGTAATAGTGATTTTGATTTGGACGCAGGTGAGTGGGACCGACGCGGCGGTAGTTTTGTTTGAGCCTAAAAATCGATACAGAAATCGATATAGAAATCGATACAGAAATCAAGATTGAAATCCCAAACTCTGTAAAGTCAAAAAGATCTCATAGCAATCTTGTGTGAGTTGTTACTTAGCGTGAAGCAATTAAGGAGTCAAGAAATGATTATAAGGAATGACCGAATTACGTTTATAAATCCTATCTATATGGTATGTTTAATTAAGTTTATATCTATGCAGTGAAATTAGTCTATTACTCAAGTTGAATGTGTTTGTCTTTGTTGCCTATGGAAGAAATACATTTTAATTCTTATTGAAGATAAAAACAAAAAAACTAATTGTTAAACTGTCTGTGTCCAATGTCTTTCTCTCTCTCTCTCCCTATCTCTCAGAGTCTATATATATATCATGTATATATATGTATTCTTGTATAATTTATTATATATTTTTCTCTTATATTTTGTGGTGTTTTACTTTAGTTTTGTTTCGGTGTTCTCAAGCTGAACTTTCCCTCGAACTCTGTACATTTCTAACCAATTTTAACTAACATTAACTGACCTTCATTCAAACATTTTTAATTTTATTCGTTTTGGTAGTCGGTAATTAACAATTTTTTTAACCAAAAAACTAAAACTAACACCAAAAATGTATTATTAACATTGAAATTAATGTAATTTTTCCATTAACAAAACCTAACCAACTTTTGTCTGTCTTCTTTCGGTATTTGAATTTGAGTTTAAGCATACCATGTAAAAAAAAAGTTTTTAGACTAAGGAAAAGCCGGAAATAATCCCATATCTTGCTTACAGTTTGAAAACCCAAAGAAAAAACCAAGAACAAGAAAAAACAGCAGCTACAACAAACTACTGGTCAGTCGGTCTCACTAACCGGGATCCCAGATCAAAGCCACCAAAAAAACAGATAAAACCATCTCCCTAGCTTATAAGCCGCAACATTCAACGCCTCGCCAACGATCCTATCCTAGCATGTGCACCATACTATAACTAACTTGATTAATCTATAGAACCTATATATAGCAGCCTCGGTTACTAACACTCTTAACGCAAACACTTTAACAACACTATTCTGTTAAACACCACAATGGCCCCCACCCCTTACCAAACCACCTTCCTATCTATGGTCTAAGCGTATGTATTTAGTTCTGTAGCACTAAGTATTTATCTAGATATGGTACTATTAATTATTAATATTCTTTATCCACTCTGGCCCCAGACTAAAATCGTTATCCTGTAGTTTATGGTATTTTGCAACACTTTTTGCGTAAACCGAAATGAAGTGTAACTGTTTCCTTATTTTGGCACCCCACCGGCACAAAATTCAAAATGGCTACGGCTTGGTTGAAACCACCCCTCCAACCCCCCACCACCCCCGTTCCGCCTGTGATCAAATTAAACACTGCCCCCACACTTACACCCCCACAACACACACAGCCCCCTCTAATTGCATGAATCCACTGAATATGTACTTACTAAACACTAATCTAGAGCAAACAAAAGATTTACACCTGCATGAGACAATAGTGGGCCACATCGCATGTGGTCCACAATCAGAATCACAATCACCGTTATGACCCACAAAGCGAACGGCCATTTGTATTACTGCAGGCCACACGCTTAACACTGCATGCACGTGCCTGGCCCATAACCGTTGAATTTGCATTCGAAAAAAGCCGAATTTTTGAAATCTACTCGTATTTGTCATTGTCATGTTTGTCTGTATGTACATATACATATACATATACATATATTTCTTGCAGGCTTTAAGAGACGCGGATATAAAAACAAGAACCATTAACCACCAACAGCACACAGATATAACAACAACTGAACGAACCACAGATACAGATACAATTACAAATACAGATACAGATACACTCCCACACAGGCACATCACCGCAGAAGAATTACAAAGTGAATGTGCCGCCCCACTCTCTCTGACTCTCTCTGTCTCTCTGCTACTGCTTCTACTTCTTTTTCTGTTTCTGTTCCATCCTTTGTGTGCGTTTTTTTGTGTGTGTAGTTGTAGTCGCCATGCTGCTCCTCATGTTATTTTCCTTTTACGTACTCCTCTTACTCTCTTTCCAAACAAAACTGTACATTCATGCGTAGACATCAGCCTTTGATCGATTGATTGACCGAAGCAAAAAAAAGAAAACTGTTACGTAGTTGTATGAGCACATCCCTCCCCACCACATGCCATGCCCACAAAGCATACGCTTCAATTATGATATATGTACTTGTATATATTTTTGCTGAATTGTTTATTTATGCTATTCTTTACACTTTTCATTTCGTTATTTTTGGGGAAACCCACAAAACAAAAAAAAAAACAAAAAAATGATACATTTTTAATTCCTTGCGGTTCCTATGAAACCATATAAGTAGTGCCGCAAGTTACGAATCAGGGTGTGCTGCCCGGCTGGATGTGGAGCCTAACGAACAGGTTCTTCTAGAGGATCATACCATATCCTCGTGCTCAGCCCCTGCTCTGTCCATCGTCAATGTGTAGCCTGTCCAAGTGTGATTTGTCCAGCATTCAGCTGTACTGTACAGCGTACACCATTTGTACATCCATCGCTTGAGTGATCTCTGTCTGAACAAAACCGAACAAACAAACAAAAATAAACATACATATAAAACATGCCACGCCCAAGACCTGCGCCGCTGCCGAAACGCCAAGCCAAACCAAATAAATGAAACGAACTCAAATCCGTTTGCGCACAGAGTGAAGTGAAGAGTATGTTGTATCAATTATTATTTATTTTCCCCCCCTCCCCCATTAAGTTACTTAAGTTACATTTATTATCCTACTCCGTTTTCCTAAGTTGAGCTTCTACTTTCAAAATCGCACAAACTTCCCAGAAAAAATCCACCAAAAAAAAAAACAAACACCTAATCCAACAATATCTTTAGCTTAGATGTAAGTCCACTATGCAATGCACCTAAGAACGTTTAATTTTAGCCTATTTATTCGCTTAACTAACTTGAATTTGGAAATTGCCCCGTTTTTCATAGCAGTTGGCGATCACCAAAGCAACGACGAGCCCATCGGACCGGAAGTGGCCGAGCGTACGGGTTCCGGAGCCATGTCCGTTTCGCAGATGACTGGCAGCTCGGCAGTCAACACTGTGATCTCCACCATCCTGTTGTGCTTCATCTCCAAACTGATTGTTAGCTAAAAGAGCCAGGCAGAGCATTTTCCGAAACACTTAGGAACTTAGGAAAACTGAACTAACTGAAAGCCGAAACAACTCAAGTAAAATTTCTAAAATTTTACCGCACGTTGGACACCGAAAATGCTTGAAATTCAAATGCGTAACATCATATCGAATACAATGAGAGGAAATGCAAATCAAAATAGTCCCAACAAAAATTGAAATCAAACAGAATATCAATTGTAAATTGAGCGATCAGCATGTGAAACAGGTGCCTTATCAAATATCTTTGTTGTTGTGTAAATAAAATCAGCCTTAAATATAATAAAATAGTTGATAACATTCCGCATTCTAAACGACAAAAACCAATCAGGAGTCATGTCATAGCAGACGTTCTTATTGTATTCTACTGTTTTGGTAATGACAAATTGCGATATTAAACTTAACGAGCCATATGCCAGGAATTCGAGAGAAAACCAAACGTTAAAACATCAAATGAACGATTCGACCTATGTTAAATGTAATTTAGTTTAGATATAATTGTTAATGTCTGCACGTGGAACACGGAATACTAAGAAGCCCGAGCTTCAGTTCTTAAAGTTCTTAAAGCTGTGTAACAACATTACTGCAAACTATAGTATCAGTGTTTTAAGTTTTTGATTGAACAAAAAGTGACTTGAATTGACTTGACTTGACTTGACTGGACGACCCATATCATCATCGAGTACATTTGAATATTTTATAAGTGATATTTAAGCCAGTCCGTTAAGCGATATTTGTTCGGGTTTAATATTTAAAACCGAAATATTATTTAATTTACGTATTATTATGTGTAATAATTTTAAATGTACGCTGGAAATGAGAGTCAAACAAAAACGAAAAAAATTACAAATAAAACAAAAACTAATAAATAATAGTATATGTACAACACAATTGTTATTCACAATGGGTGAAATTGTTGCACAGCACGAAAAATTTGTAAGAGACCCGCACACCTAATGAAAAATTAGGTATCGATGTCGGTTTCCAACTGAGCGTAAAGCTCCTCCAGTCGTGCGTCCTTTTCCGGGGAGGCTTGGGTAGCCTTTGAAGATGTGGTCTTCTCGTCGGCCGGTTTTGGGCTTTTGGCGAGTCTGGCAAGACCTGAAAGCATCCGGCCAAGAAAAAATGATTCTAAGTAGGATAATAGGAGTGGCATAACAATATTAGGCTATAGGTCCGTTTCATTTTACTTTTGGTCTTTTTAGGATCATCATCCTGGCCAGGCTTGTCTATAGGTAACGTCGTAGGGCGAAAAGCAGGTTCGGGCTCTGCGGTGACCTCTGGTAGACCCAAATAGGCACACTCCGCTTTAATGTCTTGTATCAGGTGGACGGGAGTGGGACCCCTTGCATGCCTGCACATTTCCGGATATGAGCTAGGCTCCAGTTTTGGCGACAAATCTGCTGAAATTCAACACAACAGACACAAAAAGTAATCGTAATGGAACACAATGCATCTACACACAACCTGTCTACCTACCTGAAATATCTTGTCTGGCCTGCAAGCTCTTTATGATGGCACCATATTCAGCCATTTGTAGCTTCAGTTTTTGGATCTCCATCTCGTGCTCACTCATTTTGCTCTTGCGCTTGGCCTTTTCTTTGGTGGCACCGTTCGAATCAGAGCAGTTTCCATCGCTGTCGCTGATTGTGATTGACTCAACAGGTGGAGGGGAGATAACTTTGCAGTCGGCGTCAGCCGCATCGTCATCGTCAGTGGCCAGTGTGTTTATTGTGAGGTTCGATGGGTTTGGCTGCAATTTGAACTGGCCGGGTCGCTTTTTAATACGCCGAAAGCGAACAGTTAGTGTGCGATTGGACAGACAAGGACTCCTGGACAACTCCCTAAATGCCTCTCTGGCTAGTTCGGTTGTAGCATAGCGGACAAAGGCGTAGCGGGCACGCTTCTCCGTCCTGAGGACGCCAACATCCACTCGCATGGATCTCACAAAGAATCCCTTGATGGCTGATGTGGTCATGTGGAAGGGTATGTTAGACACATACAGACTGCAGGGGTCGATCAATTTTGCCTCCTCTTCAGCGGAAAATTCTTTGCGCTCTGCCACCAGAAAGCCGTTGCCAAATCGCACCTGATTGATCTCGCTTATTGTCGAGTCCACGTCCGCTCCTATCTTCAGGTGAACCATGCAGTAGCGCGGCTCCAATTGACTGGGAACACCTACATCTCTGATTGCCGGGGATAGTCCGGCCACCATGGCTGTGGATATTTCAGGGTCAGGAAAACGAATAAACAGTACAACAGAGGCGGTATCTTTGCAAGACTTCGAGCCCAACTCGCGCTCCAGCTCCAAACACTTGAGCGACTCCATTCGACGTACTCTTGCCATCTCCCGCCGCGACAGTTTGTTCCCGTGAATATCTGAGCCAACAAAATGCTTCATTACACGCAATAGAGCATACGTAAGATCTGTGACAGCGTACCTTTCTTCCATAGAGAATTCCTATCAAATTCCGAAAGCGAGCCTGTGTCGCAATCAGAATTGATAGTCTCTGCTTGCCAAGAGCCGGGCTGCGCTCCAACGGCGGTCTTCGGAGATACATGTGACTCCGGTAAGGAAACGGAGCAGTTGTCGGGGCTGCACGGCGGCAAATTTTGTGGATTCCCATCGCCCGGTATCTCGATGCCCTTATCCTGGCTGTTCTTCTTGGGTCGTTTGGAATCTGCTCCGATTCCAATTGCCGGGGGGCAGCGTTTCAAATCCATAACTTAAAGAAAACTGTATTTTTAAATAAATTTTGTCTCTTGATTTTTGTTTTGTTTATTTATCACAAAAAATGGGACTTATCGACCCTCAGAAATATACCAAAATATACCGTAAATACACTGACAAATTATTCAAGTTCCGTCATAGAAATTCCTCGTTTTTGATATTTCGTCGAATATATCTAGCTTGATAGTAGTTGTATTCGATTAATGAATGAATTAATTAGTTTCTACTTGACTGTCTTATTTTAAATACTTGCTTTTATTGAATCTTGTCTAAAAAAACGAAAGTAAAATATACTGTTTTAAATACTCCCTTTTACTAGAGGTGGCAACGCTCAACAGCTGTTTAAGAAAGAAAAACAAATGTGTGCTGCTATATTAAAATTTGTTAAATTAGGACCCAGCGCAGCCACAAGGCTCCACAGAAGCCTGCAGTAAGTACTGGGAACGTTTACATCTTATAATTTAGGTGACCAATGTACATTTTCTTTCAGAACAAGTTCCCTGCGATGCAAGTTGCGGAATGCGGCGCCGGCCCCCGATGTGGAAAGAAAGCTTCTATTTAATGACCGGTTGCCGGATACGTATAGATTAATCTATCGTGCACCATTAGAAAATTATGTAAGCTGGACCAAGAATGTGTCTACGGCGACGGTTTCTATGCTTGGCCTGGTGGCCGCCTTTCACTTTGCCACGAACATGAATTTGGAAAACATCACCCAAAAAATCAACATATCTTTGCTGGTGTCCCATGAATCAGATTTGTATTACTTCTTGGCAGGATTTGTGCTAATCAACCTGGCCATACGCACATTTGTGGCCAAATATCCCCTCAGGATTTATAAGAGTGCTGATAAGTAAGTTTTCAATATGTGGCTCTATATCTATGTAAATCCTGCATTATATCTTTCAGATATGTGGCTGTTTATGGATCGCAGCTTCCGTTGGGAACTGTGAAGCATTATTTCGAAAGGGGACAGATTGCTGAATACAGGAACGTACTGAATCCTTGGAGCCACATTATGTACAGGCTGGGGAACCGCTCTTCCATGCTACTGATCGACTACTTTAAGACGCCGTCAGAGTTTCACCAGCTGTTTGCGGAAAAATGATTGCGTTTTCTTTTGAGTTATACTTGAGTTAGGAATGTTGATTATATAGATTTATACAGCGATCCACACAATTTAACTTCTATCTGTATTCGGGTGATGACTACCATCCAGCCTCTCATCTGGAGTACCCTCCGGCCCGATCTCAATTAGCCCCTGAAGGTGGAGCAGGAGCCTTGAAGACAGTCCAACTCGGATATTTCTAATCGCTCCTTGTGCGAAAGGTAGAATCACTGCCTTTTCACTCGAAAGGAAACCACGACTCGAATCTGGCGGGCAGGCCACCGCTTAACATTTATCTGGCAGCGCGCATTAATATTTTTCATCGGTCTGGCAGCACCCATTAAAATCGTGCCAAATGTGTATATTACATGCATTTTGATACAATTTACATTCTACATGTAGAATTACCGAAATTTATTTGATTTTAACGGATGCTGCCAGACCTATGAAAAGTTTTAATGAGCGCTGCCATATCGCGTATAAAATGTTTAATTTAATTTAGACTATTGATTAAAAGTATAAACATTTGCAATTTCATTTAAATCTATATTATTTTCTGTAACAAGAATTAACTGAAATAGATGAAAAACATGTCCTCAATTCTATAATATCTGTTATAGATAATAACCGAATTTCATTGAACGGATATCATTTACTAGCTTTTTGCTACGATATTTCGAGTTACTGGCCTTAATCTAATAAGTCGTCGGAAAAACATTCAGTACTTTTACATATTTGAATGAATCTCCCCCAAAACTTCGTTTTATGTGGCTGTAAATGTGCCATGTGGAGCACAGTAACAGCTGCCCTATAAAATATTAAGAGTCAAAGAGGGAGCCAAGTGCGAGAGGTTCTTTCGCGTGATGTAATTTCATATTGCTGAATCTATGTATGTAACGCAATGAGTAAATATGTGTACATACATATACATATCTACATTAACAATTTGGTACGAATTTCTCTGAATCTGACGATGGAAAAAGCTCCTTGGGCGCCACAAAGCAACCCCCAGACGGCAATCCAATCCTCATCCCACACCCTCTCCCCACAATTTGGCGCATGTGCTAGATTCCTTCCGTAGCTGCTGGTGCTGCCACTGCCACTGCCGCTGCTCAACTGTTTCCTCTTTTATCGATTGACCCAATTCTCAAGTGTACATACTTACATACATATATATGTACATAGAGTACATAGTGGGGCTGTTTTTTATCTCCCGCCATTTGCTAGCCTGCGCCATTTGCTGGGCTGCGTATAATTTTATCTGCGCCCCCGCACAGTGACTTCCAGTGCCTTGTTTTCCTTGTCCTTACAACGTCCTTTCCAAAACGGGAAGGAAAATGTCAGCAACAGCTGCTCTCTCACTCTTCCTAAGCCTTGAAGAGGATACCGATGCCTCGCACTTCTTGAAACTCTTTTAATTTATCATCTCTCCGAAAGATAAACAAGAACAACGTCCGCCCCACAGCGCGATTTGGCCTAGAAACGAAAGATAAAAGAAAAGAAATCGTGGAGAACATAGCTCAGAAGTAAGCTTTTTTCGATCAACAACGCTGGCTGGATGATTATGCTGCCTAAGCATAAAACGTCTACATATGTACACAGAGTGTACATATGCACACGACACGTGTAATTGACCTACTTTCCCCACTCGAAAAAGAAACTCATATATACTAAAACAAACATACATACATATTTACATAAAATATATGTACCTACAAGTGTAGCTGTGTATGTGTGTGGCCTGCTTGTCCAGCCATTTCAATTCCATAGCAAAAGCATTGGAAATAACAAAAAGAGGAAGACGAGAGAAGCAAAAGCAAAGCCAGAAAAAGCAGCACACACACACACACACCTAGATAAGATAAATGAACGTGTCATAAGTACATACACGTGTACATTTATAGTGTATAAGAATTTCCCCATTTCCAAAATCCAAACCTTTATGGATGTTTCAAGCTTATCTTTTCCAGCAACTGAGCAACTTATGTATGTATGTACATATATATGTCAATGCAACTAAAACTGAACAATTTAACAGCTGTGCTGTAGAACAATTAACAAACTTTGATCAACATTATTAATTCAAAATGTGTTCGTTTGCAAGCGAACAATTAAAATACTACATATGTACATACATACATTTATACAACCATATGTTTCGCTTTTACAGAAAAAACAAGTACATAAGCGCGAGAGCTTTTACAGCTTATCGAAACTTGAACACGAACACAGCCATACATATGTACATATGTATGTATGTATGTACAATACATTTCGTGTAGCTTTCGCTGGGGTAGAGCAACAAATAAAATAGTTTGTAGCTCGTGTGTTAGTTTGTAGCTCTGCAGCTTTGTCGCCTGTTGCGAGCGACCTATTTACTAGCTACACACGGACTTGCCCACATCTGTACTTACACACGCAGGTACACATGACAGATACATGCACAGACCAAATGGAATGGATGAGAAAACATATAACAGAGTAATATCTATTGGAATGCAGAATGAACAATGCAGAAAATGTGAAAATGAATCGCCCACCGAAAGGCAATTACCATGCAGCCCCCCGCCTGATAACACAGCCTGATATCTTCTCTGGTCGGGTGATGGTGGGGCATTTTAGATAGTTTCGTTTGCTCTGTGTCGCGACTCGCGACACTGATAAAGTCAATTAGCACTGAACATGAAACGAGCAAATGAGAACCACAAAAAAACGCAAGGGGAAGAAAAGCGAGCAACTTAATTAATTAGTTTCATGTGAAACGCCCCTAAACACTCCCTCCGCAGACAGTCAGAGGCCACATCATCATCATGATGAGTGGATTTAATTGACGATACGAAAACTAGAACCAGGAAAATAGTGTACTTGTGGCCGCATTTTACAGCTAGTCAGCAAATTGCTCGACGATTGTTAACACGGCCGCTGGCTATTTTTACATTGCTGATGTAATCACTTTTTCTCTCACCATCACTGTTTACCGCGCAGTGTTGCAACTATCCTAAGGTTCACCACGACGAACCCTAAAAAGCCGAGCATGCAGATGTGGAGACGGAGGAAAAAGTTCTTCTCGCGAATTTCCAAAATTTTTGATTTAATTTCGTCAGTCAGCGGGATCGGGTCGACCCGCAAATACCCTATACAGATTAGAGAGCATACAAAATAAAAATATACATATATGTATGTACATAGAAATAAAAATATGTACAAGGAGAGCTCTTTTGGGTGGACACCTACAGATAATTTGGTGCCAATCTATGTACACATCCAATCTCTTGGCACTGTGGTGGCCGCTCAAGAGAACCCTCACTGTATCACACACGAGATAGATTCAGCTTAGAAATAATCAACTTAGAACGGAATATGGGTGTTTTCAATCGGATCTCTCGGGACTGAAGACGTTGTCGGCCGGAAAGGTCTGGCCCTTGTGCACGATATCAGTGGTATAGACGTGGGCCGCCGGCTTGAGCAGATCTTCGCGCCTTCGCTTCAGCTCCTGGCGGGAAGAGTTAACCCTCTTGTTTCGCTTCATATTGGTGAACCGCACATATATCTTGCCACGCCGTTCGGTTCGGTAGTATTGCAGTTGTTCCTTCGGGAACAGTTGGAGAATCTCGCGCTCCAGCAGGTGGCTGCGTTGCAACGTCAGATGGAGCTGATTGTCCTCATAGTAGCTGCATATCAGCTGGATGAGCAGCAGCCGCTGCACTGCATCCAGCGCCTCCTGCTGACCCAGGCGGTCGAGCAAGGACTGGCTTTTCATGCCGCCAGCTTGCAGGATGCCTAGCACTGTAACAACTCGATCCTCCCCCGTCACCTGGTCCCCGCTGTCCTCCTCCTTGACGTTAGTGACTAGCGTCGTACTCAGAATCTCGCTGGGCTCCAACTGGGGCTGCATAGGGATATGAAAGGGGGCTTGTACCGTCTCTCTGGGATCAGTGAGGGAGACCAGTGGCTCTGCCGGCAGTGTCTTGGCGAGATCATCGGACTTGCCACTGTCCCCGGCGCTGTCCGACTGCCCGCCCATCTGGGGATGGCAGATAATGGACGGGGCCGCCGACTCCGCGCACCGACAGCCCTGGCAGTGCGTCTGACTCTGCCCCTGAACGCCCTGGAGGGGCACGTTCAGCCAGCGTCGCCAACGTTCCAAGTGATGCTCGAAGCGTATGCGGGTGCCGAACCGAAAGTTGCTCAGCAGCTCGGCCAGGTGGTGCCGCTTGATCATCTGCAGTTCGTCCACGTTGATGGCTTCGTCTGTGAATGGGAGAGAGAGGCGGCCAAATGCCGTTACAGTTAAAGTCGTTCTTCTGCTCTCCAGCTAGCACTCACCTTGCAAGTGTGGGAGGAGATCGGCAACATCCCATGACTGGAGCAGCTCGCGCAGCTCCTCGTATTCTTGCTCCTTGGCCATGTCCAACTGTAAGGGTGTGGGTGCTGTGGGGACGACTGTGAGCGTGGGCCTTGCGCAAGGAATGTACGGATGTAGATTCATACGGGCTACAGCCGGGCGTACATCCTTTCGTCACGAATGAGAGCGCCAGAATGAATTTTGCAACAGGCGCGTCTGTACCTCTCCACCGTGTGCCGGGGCCATAGAGCAAACACTCACACACACACGCACATTCTCGTTCGTCGCTAGCACACGTATTGTGTGTACGTGTGTGTTTATGTACTGTATGTACAGTCAGTTTCATCGTTTCGTTGTTTTCGCGTTTTATTCTTCATCGTTTGTTTCGTCGTTTCGTAGTCGCTCGTCAGCTGCGCGGCGCTGCTTGCCAACCAACTCAACTCAACGAATGCCAAACGTACGTACCTATTATGTATGTATGTATGTAGGCATGCATGTATGTATTTATGTAAATGTTTGCACAATATGTATTCGTAGTGTTTTGTTGTTGCCGTTGCATGCCTTATATGAACATACATATGTACGTATGTATACATACATATACTTGCTATTTATTGATAAATATTCGCACTAACTAAGCGGGGCGGACGCGCATCAATAAACCAGACAACGTCGATCGCTTTGTACCCTACTTCCCATTGCTTGAATTGTTGTGGGTGGGAGGGAGATTGCATTCCACTTTTACGTTGATCAGTTTCTCCTTCGCCTACTCTTACTGATCGAATGTTTCTGGCACTTCTTTGACCTATAATTATTATTCAACGTACAAATGTACATATGTACATACATACATATGTAAGTAGATACGTATGTATATATGTTTGGTTAAGTGCGTGAGCAGGATAGCACTTCTAATATGTTTGTTCATTACGTGGAAGGGGGTAGACACATACATTCGACAGACATCCGACACTGAAGTTGACGTTGACATTTTTTTCTTTTTGGTTTGTTTGGTAGTCTCTTGTCTTGCCTCTCCCGTTGTTCGCGGGCACCCTGATCGACAATTTAACCTCAAGACGTCATCAACATCCATGGCATACTTCGTCTTCATTGCTGCGCTGCCGTCGCCGTGGCTCGTAAGTAGCCACCAACGCTAGGCGGGTTCAATGGACTCTCTTTTGTAAATGTTTTCCTTTCTCCGCCGCCTCATTCTCTACATCCCTCTTTCTTTCTCGTTCCCTTTTTGTTTACTTGCCGCTGTTCCATTTCATTTTTTCTTTCTCTCTGTCTTTTTTCGGGCTACGACTTTCCGGAGTGGAGTGTAAGTTTCTTTCGGGTTTCCTTTCAAGAGGGACTGCAACTTGTTTAGCTCAAAATGCCTTCATTAACACACACACGCACACTCGCAAACCAACACTCAGTAGAAAAGGAGGGAGAGAGGAGTTGAGTAGGAGAATCTCTCAGCCAAATGGAAATTTCATGTTGTGGCGCGGATATGGATATGGCATGTGGGTGAGCGAGGGGAGGGGAGGGCAAATGTCCGCAAACGACCTTCTTGTCCAACATCCCTCCACACCGTTTCGGTTTACAGTTTTCGCAATCCCTACCTGGACATTACCCCGAGCACATTTCCCAAACCCACCGAGCGGCTCACTGATGCGAAAAACTCAACCCCCAACCCCAACCCTAAACCGAAACCCAAATCCGAAAGACCTTCTAATTATCATCAGGTATCTGATTTTCAATTAGACGCAAATTGTTTTTCTTTGGTGGAGTGAAGTGAAGGGAATTGGAGTATCAGGAAAAATACACCAATTAATGGAATTGAAAAATGATAAGCAAAAATCAAAATGGGTACAGTGATTGCGCTCGTAAGCGTAAAAGGAGTCCGCTTATGCGATAAATAAATAAATAGCTCATATATCGCTATGTTCCTCTATAGCTGTCTCCTTTAAACAGACAGAAGAGTAATTAGTAGAATCAAGGGTCTCCGGTTGTAGAACATACTGATTAAACCTTATCCATATTGCATTACCTAAGGTACGATCAAGTAGCATACTATTTGATCCATTTGCAGCGTTCCAGACAAGCCGTATTTACATATGCATATGCCAGACAGTTCAGATTTCCATTTGCAATTGCATTCTCGAAACGCATCGAATGTGAGAAGGAGCGAATGGAACCATATCAAAACACCCTATTCCAGCAAAAGTTATCATTCTAATGAAAAATTCCTTCACCGCCCAGGTAAGAAAATGAAAGAAGGAAACAATGAAACTTTCCCCCTCGTATGCAGGACGAAGAGGTGACACAAAAGCAACAGCAAAAGAATGCTGGAAACATGCGCAGTATTACAATGTGCGCAGTGGTCCGGTCCGACTTCTAGGCAGGGTTTGAGGCGGGAAAAAGCCCATATAACGAGGGTTGCTTGGGCCGAGGGGCGCACATGCTTCGGCAGTCGTTTGACAAAAACCCAGCTCGGTTCCAGTGAACGACTGATAAAGGCAGTCAGGGCCTCCCAATCAATTCCATTGCGGAAGTAGGAGAAAAATTCTATTAACTGGAAGTGAGTGCTTCTTCTTCTTCTCTTTCTCCTTCTTATCAACGCTGCGCAGTCAGCAGTAGCAGCTGGGCCCTGGGCGTTCTGACTTTCCTGCGCACTTCTGCCCCCCTCCCGCACCCCCTCCATCTGGCCAGGAGCTGAAACGCAGTTGGAAGCGACATCAGAGGATCTCTCCCCCCATTTGTATCCCTCCATCTCATTTCTCTAAAGTTACTGCTGCTGTTGCAGACATTTTGTGGGCGGACTTGAACGCTGCGCAGCAAAAACCCTTACGGCATCGCTGACGTCGAAGCTGTTTGACCTACACAAACACCCACCCCACCACCCCCGCACAGCATGCATATGCATGAAATAGTATATGTATGAAAAAGCTTAGACACAAAGTTTTATATACGGTTTCTATGAGCGCAGGGCCGTGACTATGTGTCTGTGGCTGTGTGTGTATGCGTGTACATTGAAACAATTTTCGATGAAACTGCGCCAGAGCAGAAGCAGAGCAGCAGAGACAGAACTAAACCCGAAGCGGAGTCATTCGCCAATCTTTATTCGCTGTTCGCTGGCAGTAGACGCGTTAGTTTCTTGTACCTAGCCTAGTACTCTCCATATGTCCCAGTGTTACTTGGAGAGAGAAAGAGCGCGCGAATTTCTTATCAAACAAATCGGGATCGACAGTTGCTGGGGATTCTGGAATATGTATGTAAGTAACGAAAAATACTATGGCGAAAGGTGTCGGGCTTCCTGCTGACAGCATCTTTATGAATGTGCAAAGTACACTTTTGAGCGATGCCAGATGTTGCCTTTAATCGGGCCCATTAAATATTAATGGTCATGCGAAAGCTTAATAATTGTATAAATTCAACCAACAAAAGCTTGACTCTATCTCTGAGAATCGATCTATTCCCATCGATCTCTATTCAGAGGTTCTCTAATTAGTCATCTGAGTGGGTTATTCAAGGTTTTCCAGTTTTTCTCCGATGTATTGGAATTTAAATTTCAAAAGCTCAACTTGCAAGGCGGACCAGACCAGCCTCTATTCAAAAGTGATTTGATTTCAAGGCATCAAATATATTTGGGATTAGAGTGGAACCAAAAACTAGAGAATTGGAGTGCATAGGAGGAAGAGAGTCAAGTTATTAAATGGGAGATATTCTACTTCCTCACAATTTCTTTCAGCTATATTGTAGCCAGAGGAAAGTTTTCAGTCCATCAAGACTTATACCATTTGAGCGTGTAGATTTTAATTGAACGATAGTCTGGTCAAAAGCCATACAGATGGGGAAGTACCCCAAGATTCGTGCCTGGAGCGCATTAACTTTTAACCCAAAAAAGAGAAGAATACGTTTTCTGTTTCTGTTTTGTGGTAAACGTAAACAGAAAAGAGCAAGACGAAAATTAAATGAAATCACATGCAACACACGTTCCACTCGAAAGAGAGAGGGAGACTAGGTGACAGAGACAGACACAGACCCAGTCGAAGAGAAAGAGATCAAAGCAAAGAAAAGAGGAGTGTAGGAAGCTTTGGTCAGTTGTGCGCTGCGCTGCGTCTCTCTTCTTAGCTTTCTTTTGGCTTGCGATCATGTTCGTGTGTGGCTATTCATTCCCAAGCATAAAACATAAAACGCAATAAGAGAAACAGCAACAAAGAAGCAGCCAGAGCAGCTGTGGCGTCATCGCCAAAAATTTGTTTCGCTTTCGAACTGGTTTGGTTTTCTTTTGATGTCGTCATCAGCATATCAGCACCGCCGCAGAAAGCAAACACGAAATTAGTCATTTGCTGCAATTTCCGACCCATCTTCCCTCTTCCCCCACCCAGCGTTGCTAGGCAACAAATACAAGCAGCAAAAGCAGACAGCCAAGGTGAATTTATAATAGGTAAGGCATGGAAAATGGGGAACTTGTGAGAATGCTAAGGCCCGCACCCCACAAACAGACAACTTGGCTGCTGCTGCAGCTTCGCGTGCCAAGTGGAACTGCAGCAAGAAAGGGAGAATGTGATCAATGAAGTGGAGTGGGGGAGGGAGAGATGAAGATTCGCGCGCGCATTTGCGCCAATAACCCAGTTTTCTGTTTCTAGTTGGCACTCGTCGAAGCATACAAGAAACGCTGTCGTTGTAGTTGTGTGTTGCTTGGAAAAAAAGGAGAAAAGAACAAGAAGTGCAGCGGCTGTTTTTGTAAAGACATACATATGCATATAAGTATATATGTACATGTGTGTGTATAACAAGTTTTCTAGATGTGCAAAGTGATGACACAATTTTTCACAGAAGTATATATGTAAATATTTACATACATATTTGTGTATGTACATATGTATAGTATGTATGTAAAGAAAACTGCCTTGCAACAAAATCTAATCAAATAGTTTTTAGCCAACTGATTTCTAATGAGATTTGTGATTGTTTTCGAGTTAAATACCCACACCCCCCAAGGAAACCTTATCTTTTGTAATTTATCTAGGCACAAAGTTAGCGGTTTTACATGGTTACGTGCCTGAAAAATCATTGTGTTTCGTTGGAAAAACATCGAAAGACGGAAAATTTTAGCCAAAGTGCGCCGCGCCACAAAGCTGCAATACTACAGACACCACATTTATGTGGAAAAGGAAACGACGGCAGAAAAAAAAGTGAACAGCAACTTGAATGTGTGTCAGCGACAAAGCACACTCACACACAGCCAAACTGAGACGGCCATGTACAATTGCAAAAGCTTCAACGCGCTCCCTCACACTCACACAACAGGCAGCGCAAGCATATGTATATGTATAGGCTCTTATATATAGTGTACTTGCGCGCGCGGGTCTATATAAAACTGGTTTTGTGGCCGCGTCGCGCTGCTGCTGTAGCCTGTAGCCGACGACGGCCGCCGCACAAAGCACTTTACACGC